ATAGTCCAATGATTATAATTGACATTTCAATTGCTACCACCAAGGACAACATGAAAATAGGGACGGGAACCACGCTCGTCGAGGTTAGTACAAGGTACAATGCAAAACTTTCACACAACATTACGCCTCCGACCATTACCGGCATCACTGGCGATCTAAGGACTGAGTTGTGCATTCCTGAAAGTAATTGCAAATTACGATACCTCCTCAGGTACGAAAAAGTACCGTGCCCAATTTGGTGCAAATTCCTGTAAGAATTTTAATTTTTTATTTTGTTAGCGTGCATAAACTATAAACACATATATTTTACCTGTTCATCATCTCGAGGATTAGTAGTTTCACCACTGTAGGATATACAAGAACCACAACGACAACGAAGCAAACGGTGGCAGTTAGAGGAGGGGAAAGGCAGGACAATAAGACTGCTCCTAAAGTCCTCAAGAGTATTCCGGCTTGGCCATCATCATTCCACGATTTGCATTCCAAATTTATCACACTCGTCAATAAAGGCGGCATACAGGGTTGAAGCAAGCCAAAGGTGAAAGGCAAGATTGGCATTACAATTACTGCTATGGTGGTTAGTAAAATGAAACCGGTGTAATAAATGTGGATGGTTTGTATGCCTGTAAATTGAAGTACAAAGGATTACTGATAGGCTAGTACGGAATTACAGAACTACATGTTTCATAAAATTATCTATCTCTGGCTCTATTGACCCAGCAATAGCGTACTTCATTGTGCATTACTAGGAGTTGTTCAGAACAGGGGGTATATATCACCTAGTGAGATTTAGTGAGATTTAATGATTTGTATCAATCATCTCACTTGGGGCTGAGTGAGAAATATGAGAACTAATGAGATAAACTTGTAGTTCATGACCCCGTCCGCTAGGTGGCGCTAGTGCATGGCTCATAAATCTCACTGTATCTCATATTTCTCATGTCTCACTATTTCTCTTTAGATCTCAGTGAGATGAGATTTACGAAGGTGAGATGAAATTTCTGCAACCCTGGTTCAGAATATTTAACTTTGCTGGTCAACCCACCTTTCTCATTGTATTCATGTTCGACCCGGACTGCAGAATTTAACAATAATACAGTCTCACTTTTGAAGAATTGAAAGTGAGGTATAAAAACCATCGCTGCGGAAAACAATGTTAAGCAGTAGTACATAACGACGAAGATCCAAGTGGGGGAGGGAGGATTTGTTGCGTACAACCTCTGGTCCAGGAACCACTTGAAGGTTATTGCCAAGTGAAGTGCGATTACTACAGTTGAGGCTAAACCTGGGAACTTTGATGGATTTGTAATCGTAAATTTTTTTTTGCTGGTCGAGAATGGGAGCTGATTGGGTTGAAATAATAAGACCTTAGAGAAACTAATTATAACTGGAATATTTGACGAAGGTACCACATTGCGCAGCAATGTAGGAATCTGAGCTAGGGCGTGGCGCATGTTGGGGAATTTGACTGTAAAATTTTGGGAAATTTTGTGTTTCCCAAAGTTCTAAGCTCTCTGATTAGGTAATCTGAAGGAAATAACAGTAATTTATTGAATGAAATATACCGAAGAATGAATGTTTCATAAGTTCTTGCAACTTGGATTTCCTTCGTTGCAGTGCAAGAAAGTAGCGAAACACTTTAAGTTTATGAAGTCTGAAAATGCTTTGCCTTTGGTTGTATTTCCTATGATGTGCAAAGTAATTGCAATCCCGAACTGGTCTGGTGGTTTTAAATATATGTATCTATCTTGCTAAGTCCAACCACCGGAGCCAATCAGGTTTTCCTGCATTATAAATCGTTTCGTTCGAGGGTGCTTTAAAATTGATGAAACTTACATACATAAGTACTTATATACGCAGTCATACAAGGAAAGTAGTCAAACCAACCAGGATTAACTAAATAAATCGGAGCAAAACGATAAATTTCTTAATATGCATACAGGGTTATCTAACCAAACCAAGTTATGGGTACGAATCAAACGCAGCCCGACATGTTTAAATTCACCTTTTCGCAATTGTTTTCGTAACCCCGTTTGTATGTAAAAATTTAATCTACAAAATTGTTTTCCGCTAAATGAAAAAAAAATTTAACCAGGTAAATTAAACAACGACATAATCTCAAATGTGGTCCATATATTGTATATTATTTCACATCAGCTACTTTTCAACCACCATTCATATTTCTTACTTATACCCAATCAGATGCAATGATAAAAGGTTTAAATTTATCTGCAGTTAATTAATTTTCATACATATGTATCTACATGGAACTGGTAATACATAATCCCCAATATTCTGTACAGTACAATGATAATGATACATACATAGATATACAAACTTACCCGACACTGAGAATAAGGTGGATAATGAGTATGGAATTAATTCGAATTTAATGGGTAGTTAGCTAACTTAAATCAAGTTTGCGAGTCACGTAAGTAATTTTGATTAAACTTTTTAATGCAAGCATTATATATTTACAATAAGTTCGAGTAAAGTTTGTCAAATTGGCGTTAAGTCGTAAGCAATAGATAAAATATCAAGTTGATACTGTTCAATTCTTCAGTATCTGGGATTAAAATTTGCTGTCAGTTTTCATGCTTACCCTAGGCACAACATCAATATCTTTGATACAACTATGTATGTACCCTATATTAAGATTATTTCAAGAGAAAAGTAATGAGCAAATCAACCGACTTTCTCCAAATAACTAGAGATGTCGCCTTATCAAAAAAGTTCCCATCCCCCAAAATCATCTTGGACGGTGGGCACGACATGACAAATCTCTTAACCCACCTTGGCCCATTCAATATTTGCAAATATTTAAGTAACTTTTCTGATTTGACGAATGGGTTGGCCATCATTCTGAAGAGTCCAATGATGATGGACATTTCAACTGCTACCCCCAAAGACAAAACTAAAATGGGGACAGGAATTACGAACATCGAAGTTAATACCAGGTACAAGGCAAAGCTTTCGCATAAAAGTATCCCTCCGACCAACGCGGGCATCACTGGTTCTCTAAGGACTAGGTTGTGCATGCCTGATAATAATTGCAAAGTACGATACCGTCTCAAGGACGAGAAATTGCTGTGCCGCATTTTGTCCCAATTCCTGCAAGAATTTTCATGTATATCATATTTTCTTAACATACTAGCTACAAATTTAAACAATTTTATGCAACGTTTTTAAATATCACTTGGGTATCAAGTTATTTTTCAAAATAATAATCCATGATCTTAATTACTTTGCCTCCCAATTACAAAAATTTGCGTATCACTATAAAACCCCTACATACAAACGTACTTATGGAAATTGTACGTTCTCCGTCATTTTCCAACTTGATCAATCACCAAATTTTAAAAAGTATGTATTTACCGAATAGAATTGCACCCATTTTTGTATCTGGGCCGCATTGGAAACCCATCACCGAAACTCATCTACCGTGTAACAATTTTTCCACACATATGTGTCGTATATACGTGTTTAATTGGTTTGCAAAATATGTATGTAATACTTTGAAAACAGCGTTGTTGCCAAGTGATAAAAATCGGTATATAAATGTGTAAAACTTGGTATATACGTATATTTCCGAAGTTTATTAAGAGGATAATTGCTTAACCTGTTCATTATTTCAAGGATTATAAGTTTCACCACCGTGGGATAAACAAGAACCACAATGATAATGAATCCAGCAATGGTAACGACTGGAGCGGCAAGGTAGGACAACAAAATGGCTCCGGAAGTTCTAAGAAGTATTCCGGTTTTCCCGTCATCATCCCACGATTTGCATTCCAAGTTAATCACACTCATCAACCCGGGTGGCATACAGGGTCGAACCAGACCAAAGGTGAAAGGCACAATAGGCAATACAATTACTCCTACGGTGGTTAGTAAAACAAAAGCAGCGTAGTAAATGTGAACACTAACTATCCCTGCAAACAGAAATAAATATGGGAAGGATCTTTGAGTATTCATAAGAATTTCGCATGTTCGTACATATATCGATACTAGCGAACAAGCCCGTCTTCCGCGGAGCGAGCGAGAATTATAAGCTGGAAATGTCTGTCCGTCGGAAACGGAAGTGCAAGCAAATATTCCACAACGGAAGTGAAAGCAAAGAAAGTCAAGTTTCAAATAGTGCGAAAATTTAAATTCAAAAAATTAAATGTCTGAAGGTAATATTAGGATGGTTGTCGGGTGATGATTATCTCTACTTCCGTTGCGGAACATATACTTTCCTTCCCTCCCGGACTGACATTTCCAGCTTATAACATAGATAATTCTGAAACAAATTGCGAACAAACTAAATACTATTTACCCATGACGATGAATTTGTTAGCCTAAATTTTTATTACTTTGCTGATGAACTCACCTTTCTCGTTGTAATCTTGATCGACACGGAGTGCAGAATTCAGCAACAACACAAGTTCTTCTTTGACGAGTTTAAAGTGAACTATTATAACTAAAACTGCAGAAAACAATGTTAAGTAGTAATACATAAGCACGAAATTCCAAGTGGGGGAGGGAGGGCTTGTTACGTTCAACCACTGAGCCAGAAACCATTTGAGAACTACCGCCAAATGAAGTACGATTACTACAGTTGAGGCTAAGCCCTTTGGCGAATTTGTAATGACAAACTGTTTTTTGCTGATTTTGAGTGGAAGATAGGATGAAGTAATAAGAGCTTGGAGAAACCAATTACGAGTGGGATGTTTGACGAAGGTAGGGAATTTCGTACCCATGTGAGCATCTGCCCTATCGTGGGCGGGATATTGGTGAGTTTTGTGGTTCGGTTTGGTTTGCCCATAAGAAATTTAGGTTGTCTGAATTCTTGGTGTACACTTTTGCTTAACGGAATACTTACGGAAGAATGGACTTGAAGAAGTTATCATATTTTGAGACTTACTGCTTGTAAATATATTTACATAAATATGTGCGTATGTATCTATTTAATAGGAGGTATCTTGCATTTAAAGATGATAAATATGATGCGAGGTTTCTTATGACGGGAGGGGATAATTTAGCGCCGACTCCAACCTTTTCTCCGCCACGACACGATTGGACGACATCTTCTGCTCCCCATTTTTCCAAGGCAGAGCGACACAGTAACGCCCATCATCATCTTTCGTGACATTCTCTTGAAAGTGTTGTTTCGCCACTTCTTCACATTCTGCTTTTGTTTTACGACAGGGATCATCACGTATCCAAATAGCATCCAGGTCCCACAATTGACTAACCTGTAGCTCATTCACAGAAAGACAAGTTACCACCATTGCACTTGACTCACTCACCACAGGCACACGACCACCGACTGTCCACCCAAGACTTGTCTCTATCGCCGTCAAACCGCACTCCAACTGAATAACTTTGTTGGTGAGTAGCTGTCCAAATTGATCCCCACCTATCAGCAAATTAATTTCAGCCGAACCATGACCCACGTCCCCAACTGTGACCTTCTTCTTGGCCAGCTCCGCAATCCATGGGCCTGGTGGGACACGACCAATCTTTGCACATATCGTGTCCTCCTCAAGAAGTTCCAATGACATCGGTCTCTGTCCATCAACATTCAGTAATTCAAGCTTATACCGATTATGTGACTTGACCTCAGTTACTTGACCACCAAACAGCGCCTTGCGAAATTCTTCTCGCCCCACAGCACTGATTCCCAATTTGGCCACAGTTGACTTCTTAATATAGCTCCTTTGACATCCGCTATCGAATAAGAGTCTCGCATTCACATTGCCTCGCTTTCCCCTCAGTTTCACGTTGAGGGTATAAAGTTGCACATCCTTCGTCACAGATTGACTGACCATATGGGCTGCCACATTAGCATCAGGCCCCTCATCAGTCTTCTTGTCACTCCCGAGCCTACACATCAGCGCGAGATGACCCCTCTTTGTGCACAGAGAACACTGGACCCCAGCTTTGCACGACTTTGCCAAATGTCCACCCTGAAGACAACAAAAACAAACACCGCAATTACGAACCAAATGTTGCCTTTCTTCTAGGCTCATTCTCTGCGCCTTCCAACACTTTGAAGAAGGATGACCCTTTTTACAGAACAAACACTGCTGCTTTCCGTCATGGACTGCACCACCGAAGAGATTCGCTGCCGTACTTGGACTGTCTCTCCTTTCACGATGGTGCCCTTTTCCACTCGACGACTTTGGTGTTGCACTCGTTTCACCATATCCTGACCTGGCCATGTTTCGCTGCACTTCATTCTCCACTTCTCTTTGCAGGAAATCCATCAAATAATCCATATCGGTCTTTGGTGGTCGCTCCTTGCTCCCATCCCTACCAAAATCGGACGATCTTTGCCAGGCTGTTAGCACATCTTCTGATAAGCATGATTCCACAATGGCATACAGAAATATTGACGCCTGCTGTGTGGTAACTCCTAAAGTCTGTAAGGCCTCATATCTCGATTTCAATTTGTTAAACAAACTTGATAAAGATTCATGCCCATTCCTCCCATTACTCATAGAGACGAGCTCTCTTACATATACCAACTGCAGCAGTTTCTCTTTGCCAAAGTTTGATCTCAGGGCCTCCACCGCCTGCATAATTAGCAGCATTCATTGGGTAGGATTCCACAACCTTCTTTGCCTTGGACCCTGGTACCATGCACCCCAGTAGGAACTGGAACTTTCTCACATCGTCCAATCCCTTGTCATCATGTACAATCTTGAATGAATCCCAAAACCCCAGCCATTCAGTCAACTCGCCAGAAAACTCCCTCAACTTCATCCTGGGAAAGTAATATGAGCTGCTGCTGGTCGCACCCGCACCGCCCATCGCCGCTCCACTGCCGCCAGCACCACCCATTTGTTGTTGCTGCGCTTGTTGCGGGTCTGGTTGACACTCCTCTTCAATGTCGGCAATGCAACAGAGGATTTTTTCATCGTACTCCTCGTACTTTTCATCCTCACCGTCCCCACTGGTGGTCGTTTCATTCATACTGGTCTCTTCAATGGCTTGTAATTTGATGCGAACCTCCTCCAACTTGAGTTTCAATATCTTCAGCCATTTTTTGTTTGGCGCAAGCTTCTTAAATTCTTCTGTTGCTTGTCTGCAATAGGTAGTAGCTTTCGTCCTCCACGCGCTACGAATCTTGGACGTCATGTTAAGAAGAAAGGAAAGGAAAAGACAAACGAAAAAAGTTAATATCTGCCTGTAAAAATTGAATCAGGAACAAATATTGACCTCAAGTGTCAGGACTAAGGGCTCCGGTACACCACAAATTCAAGCGGTCCTTGGGCGACCGCTACCCGTCGAGTTGTCGTCGTCGGGAAACGCCCCCTAGTACTCTTTGTCTTTCCACTACGATATCCACTGGTCCAGTCACGTCCAATGTCCTCCGTCGTTGATGAGGAGACAGTATTCCAACACTATCACGTCGAGGTCACCAAAAATATGTGAGATTTGGGATCCGCCCACTGGACGGGGAAATCTCTAAATACTGTGCACTGGACGGTGACTTTAAATATGACCTATTGCCCTGACTGACTGACTTTATGATGAACTCAAATAAACAAGCGAGAACACAATGACTTAAATATGTCACAAAATATCGAATCTTTACTATTTCGAATTATAGGAAATTTAGACATTCACATACAAGCCAATTACACACCTTGATTCACAGGTTGCTACTTCTGGAATGAGTTGGAAAAGGAACAGCCCAGTTTCATAAAGTAAAAAATGAGAAAGGTGACACGTCATCCACCACGTCAAACTATACATACCAATAGAGGGCTCTTCCTATCCCGTTCACAATACATATACCAATTTTGAGACTTGACAATATGTATGCTAAGCATAATATGCATATACATAATTATTACTATTTATGTTTCTATGATGGAAGTATGAAAACGATACATAGCGGCTTAAGAAACTTTTTTTACTTGACTAAATTCCTAATCACTTCACATTCTCATATATATACGTATGCATGTATATATTTGTAAAGTCCGTATAAAAATAAAATATGTATTACATATATGTAATCTCTATTGTAGATTAAAATTTTAGGTAGCTCAATCAAAATGAAATATAAAATTGATGACTGAAAAACACGTGGAGTACGAAACTGGTCCTTATATTAACAACGTCATCCACTATTTTATATTAATATATTATTGTGACCAACCTAACCAGTCAGGCTTTTATTGCATTAGGCTCATTCCATCTCAACCCACACGATCGTCGTCGCACCCATATTTTATATCTTGTCCACAATCGTATCAGAGATGCATAATATAAAATAAAACATATCATAAAAATCAAAATTTGAAAATTAATTTTTTTCGCAAAGATACTGCAGTTGAAAGAAAATTTGCAAATGCATTGAAAATGCTTTTGTCGCCAAAGTTTAGGTTCAAAGGGGTAGGTTACATTTACGGATTTCATTCATTGATCATTTATTGATAAGAAAAATTTTAAAAAATTCAAAAAAATCAGAAATTTAAAATGTATTGAAAAACTCGATTATCGAGAAGACGGACAAAAATCGCTTATAGGGAGATAAGCCAATCGATGCCTTTGGGCCTGAGGAAACAAAAACGTTTAAAACCCCACGCGATTTTTGTCCGTCTTGGAGTTTTGGCGATTTTTCGAAAAGGTAAAATTAACATGGGCTGCTTGTGTAGACAGCAGTAAATAATTCTGTGTTCCTACGTGGCCGGGAACATTGACAAAGCATAAGTTGTGTGGTGTTCTCATATCAAAGAGAAGAAAATACATGGTCAGGCAGCCACCACCAGCGAGCAGGGTTTAGCACCTCTATTTTCTGGGACTCGATCAAACGTGTTGCTTACAAATGGAATGAGCCATTATTAATCGTTTCATTCGGGGATACTTTAAAATTGATGGAACATCAGGAACACGTACATACATATGTACCTAATCAATGTGTATAATCAAATACTTATGTATTTTTTTAAAAAACGTAATCAAAGTAAGAGTAGTAACTACAAGGAAAAATATGTCGGGACAAAGCAATAAGTTTCTAATGAGCATCCGTAAAGGATTACAGCCCGACATGTACAAATTCATCATTTCGCAGTTTTTTTTACTTCGAGTTTTCTGTACATACATATTTAAACGGCAAAATTGTTCTCCGCCGAATTGAAAAAAAACGTATCACCAATAAATTTAAATGATATAGAACAACCATATTGCCTCAAATATAATCAGTACATATTGTTTTTCATTTAATTACTTTCTAACTAACTTTCATCTTTTTTCTGAGGTGAGGAAAGTAACCAAGGGCTACCCTCACGACAGAAAAGCACATGGTTACGGCGAAGCTAAGGTATGCTTTCAAGACAGGGTCCTAAAACTTCTGTAAACGCTACAGCTCGAACGGTTACATTTATTGAAAAATTGTTGAAACAAAAAAATCAGACAATTACAAAAGCTAGTGTCTTTTCATCTTTCTCATTACAAAAGTCTAATATTACAGGAATTTTAGGACCTTGGAAACTTTAAAATGAACCCCAAATTCAATTTTGCCATGCAATGGTCATGCCAGTAGCTGATTTTAGCGTGCGGGCATTGATTGCGCATCATTTAAGATACGTTCGAGAAAAATCGGTTGGAAAAATGAGAAAGTTTTGGTGGTGGTATCTGCAGCCACTTACGCTGCTTAAAAGACTTTTCATAACTGCACCTAGCTGGTTGCTATTGGTACCCAATAAAAATTCCCACCCAAAAACCAGAAAATAAAACTACATTTAAAAAACAGCATTCATCGGTGAGGGTGCGACTAAAAACTTTAAAACAAGAGTATTGAGCAAATTTTAAAATTTAATATTACCAGCTTTTGCCTCACCGTGGGCCCAAATTGATTTTGTATTTAAGTAAATGCTCACGGTGAGGCAAAAGTTGGTAATATTAAATTTTAAAATTTGCTCAATACTCTTGTTTTAAAGTTTTTAGTCGCACCCTCACCGATGAATGCTGTTTTTTAAATGTAGTTTTATTACTTATACCCAATCGGATGTAATTCTCATAGCGTTAAATTTGTACGCATTTGTATTTTCTTTAAATAATTTGCATATGTAAGTACATGTACATATATGTACGCAATTTTCGTTGGATTTGTTAACACAAAGCAAATATGTGCACTCAAAATAAGGTAGTAATGAATCATTACCATGCGGAATCACTATGTGTCTCTACCACGTTGGTTACGATTTGTCGTAGAAATGGTAATAATAAGTTCAGGGAAATTCAAATTCATTACCAAATATTAAGGAAGTGAATACCATTATGTATTAAATTTGAATTTCCCTGAACTTATTATTACCATTTCTACGACAAATCGTAACCGACGTGGTAGAGACACATAGTGATTCCGCATGGTAATAATTCATTACTACCTTATTTTGAGTGTCTGCAATAAGTTGAGGTAAAGTTTGCTAAATTGCAATTAAGAATGCCCAGAATTAACATTTATTTACATTAAATTTCGATACACCTTTGTGGTCAAGGACATACAAATTTAAAAAGGTAACAGGAAAACTTAATAATTAGTTTAATTTGCTGGACAATTTCCCAATAAGCAGCCAGGAACGGTATTGTCAAAATAGCTGTCAGGCGGACACGTGTACATATAAATGTACCAATTTCCATTAACTTGATCACATCTAAAATACTTTGCACAGTCGGAGGGATTCGAGAATATTCCTGGCGTAGTGCAAGTGGGAGAAGGGTCGGTGGGGGTTGAGTTACAGGTTCCAGTTTTACACTGCAAAGTCATAGGGTCGAAAAAAGTGTTTAATGGACAAGTCATGACATAGGTAACCATTTGGCCGGAAAGTATTATGCATTTATAATAATTAGCGCAGTCCGAAGCATGTGGGAAAATTCCTTCCACTGCACAACGAAATGGTATCTCAGGGGCCATAGTTGTCGGATTTGGATCATCTGGGGAAAATTTAAGTAAAACCATTTTTATGACTTCAAAAAGCATCAAGATCAATTTCAAATCGATTTCAATCGATCAATTTCAAAAAAACTTTAAGATTACCTGGAATTTCCAGGCAAGTAAGATATATTGGATCGAAATAACCTCCAGGTGTGCATTGCATATGTTGCATGTACCAAAAGCCATTACCAGCACCATCATCAATCCAGAAGCACTGATAAAACACAGTCCTGTGTATAAGTCGGAACGTTTATGTACATATTTTACAAAATTATGCAAGAAATTTAGTGTACGTACACATCGTCAGGATCTGCAAAAGGGTTACCGTTTACACAACTGTCATTGGTGAGAGTCAAGGCACCTATACGAGGCTCAAATTCCAACCGTCTGATTTGTTCTGGATCATAAAAATCGGTATCTTGTGCCAAAGTGTCACTAACAAAAATTGTGGCTAGTGCAAATGTCTGCATGGAAATAAAAATTCATAGAATGAAGATTTTCGAAATATGTAATTGTACGAATCTAGATACTACAAATTCGTATGCCCGCAACATATTTTTTGTGAGGTACCAGAGTTCAAAATGTTAAATTATTCATAAATACATAAATCAACGGTAATCGTTGTACAAAGAAATTTTGGCAATTTTTTGCCAAGTCGTCGTAAATATACTGTCAGTCTAAAATAAAACTTACGAAAAATGCAGTCCTACAGAAACATGTTTTCCCCATTGTTCTGCAAATAATTTTCCCTGCCTTGATTCCACCGAGCTACGGAAGATATGGAACATCGGGCACCGTTTAAATGATATTCGAGGCATAAAAATTAAAGGTATTAAAGGCTTAATGCTTATGAGACTGAAATCCGAAATCAAGAGTTCCGACATACTTATTTAATTAGAGTGCATAAATATGCTTGTAAGCGTTTCTTTTTTTAATTATTACTAGATAAACATAAGTATTCCCAACACTAATTATCTATGTTGTTCTCGAGCTTAAGCTAGTAGGTATTCTTGCGTAACTTAGATACCTATGTAATAAATGTATCGATTTCAAGTAGTGGTCCGCGTCAACCTGACTCATCTAAGGACCATTTAAACACAACTTTGAGCAAGGTTTATAACATACAGTAAAATATTTTACAGTAAAATATATAAAACCAAAACTCAATGATACTCATCGGTCTCTATAAAATCTGGGGGTGGTCCCAGACCCCATAAAGTATATATATTCTGAATCCTCCCACCAACACCTTTCCAACGATACCCCACTTATGGGGTTATGTGAGACTTTGTCTGGTGACCTTTTTCGTTTGTGCGAAAAACTTGTTGACCTTGGAAAAATTTAAAAATCCTTAACGAATCTGATAGTACAAGTCAGTCTGATCAGTTTTTATCAAATATGAAGAAAATCTATCGGGGATTGTTGAAATGCGAGCTATTTAAAAAATGGTGATGGATGAGCCAACTTTGTAACTTGACCTCATGTCATTTTGAGGTCAAGGAGTACGGGTAGGGCCTAGAGCTTCAGGATGACCCAAAAGCGTACCCCGGGGATTGTCCATGCGAAGTTTGACCGCCGTGGGCCTACTGTGTTTGACATCAGCATTATTTCTCATGCACTTTTGTATGTCCTTGTCGCATGAACTCAAATGTCTCATATTTTATCATATATTTTAATTCCTAGACGAAGTTTATCTTATCTCTAGACTAATTCAATTATCTAATTTACTCAATTTTGTACTTGTTCCAATAAGTTCTTAAATCTTACGAAATCAATGTACATGACTCAAAGTTTGAACCACCTTGACCCTACCTTGACTGTCTACCTATAAAAATCCAATTAACTTTTTCCTCACCTTCCACTTTTCATGTACTGCTACACAGTTACGGTCACTCTGTTCTTTGAGTCTCAATATTGCCCCAATTTTTAACTAATGTAAGGAAATCAATTTTATGACTAAATAAACACAAAGCTAAGGGCACATAGTACCGATCCCGTGGACCACCCCTTCTTTCAGGACACCATTGTCCTTAAGTGCACCCCTGCAATTCGCACTCCAACCAATTCTGCAAATTCTCAAATTCACCAATCCTCTCACTCATCACCAAGCCACAACGAAATCAGACCCACACAAAGTTCATCTTCATACACAAACATACTGGTTGCTTTACAATCGAGGGAGAAAGTTGGCAAGTTTTGTCAAAAAAGGTAGTGCTTTCCCCCATACCATTAGACGGAGGAGGACGTGGAAATTTTAAAAACTGTCTAAATCGAATAGTTCGGACCCGCTGAGCAGGTTTTTGAGCTAAAACAGCAGAAAATAAAATATGACCTTTTTTACCGGCGATAGCTGATGGAAATCGTCAATTCATATTTGTTCAAACAGATCGTGCTAGCCACAAACATTGCCGAGACAACGTTAACAATAGACGGCATTGTTTACGTGGTCGACTCCGGATTAGTTAAGCTTAAGGAGCACAATCCGAAATCCGGGATTGATACTTTAACAAAAATCCGAATTATGAAGGTGCATACATATTTACATATTTATGAATAATGACTTCGCAATCTTTCGGATCATCAGTATTCTTCGTATCATAAAATATGTAGTTACAACGGTTACGAGATTTTATAACCGTTGTAAGATTTTGTCAAGCCCTGGCTGTTTGGCTTGGGGGTGAGAACCGGTGGCTTTCGGCACTCGGAAGGTCTATGGTTCGATCCCTCATATCTCGGCAGCTGGGGCAGCCCTCCCTGGGTGCCAGTTACACACATTGTAGCTGGACACTCAGTAGAGTGGACTGAGCATGCTACCTTTCCGTGGCAGTATTCGCGTCCAAAGGGGCATACATTAAGATTGAATAGGCAGTGGTGGGTAGAGGATAGGCGGAGTGGGACTGGCCCCGTAAGTGCAGGGGTGAGTGGTGGTGCTTACGGCAAGCCGGCGTCTCTTCCTGTCTTACTATCCTTAAATGGTTTCTCGATCCCCATATCTCATCAATAGATATGGGGATTATACCTGAGCAACTAGATAGCCACTGTCATACGGTGTAAGTAAGAGGATATGCAATAGATCTGATGGATGATCTGAGCATTGGGCTCCTCCAACAAGAGGAGCCCTCCTCCCAAAATACATACATACAAGATTTTGTCAGCAAAAAACCCCGTTCCGATTTTTAAGAAGCTTAACCTCTTCTTTTTTTTTCGTAAGATATTTTACTATATGAACATAATTGTGATTACCGTCAAAGTTTCCAAGTGGAAATAAAAAAAATCCGCTTATATGAATCTAAAAATGTTCCCTTTCAGGCACAAGCAATCCAACGAAGGGGTCGCGCCGGACGCACCCAACCCGGCAAGTGTTACCGACTCTACAGCCAATACGAATTTTCCCGAATGAAAAGCGAAGCCATCCCAGAAATTCAGCGGACCAACGTGGAGTCCGTCGTGCTACAATTAGCCTCCTTAGGAGTCAGAGACATCCTTCAATTCGATTTTATGTCCCCTCCAAAATTGGACGCTGTCATGGAAGCCTTAGAACACTTACAGCAGCTCGGCGCCCTCGACGACCACATGGCGTTGACAGAAATGGGTCGAAAAATGTCTGAGTTTCCGCTGGATCCTCCCCTCGCGAAGGTTCTCATCACATCTGCATCACTCCACTGCACCGAGGAAATCTTGACAATCGTCGCCCTGTTGTCGACCCAGCATCAAAATTTGTTCGTCAATTCGAAGAAGGTCAGAGTCCTGGCGAATGAGAAGAAGGCGCAGTTCAATCACCCGGATGGCGATCATCTTACGCTGCTCAAAGTGTATAATGCGTGGCGTTTAAATTACTATGAGAGGGAGTGGTGTCGTAAGAACTTTGTGCAGTATCGAAGTCTCGTCGAAGCGGGGGAAATAAGGGCACAGTTGTCGGATATGGTTGAGAGGTTGGTGGATTTCGGAAATTTTGAGCAACTCTTAAAAACTTTTTACCTTCTTCAATGACCATAATGCGGCATTTTTCACCAATGGGGAAAAGTTATGAGTGCATAAAACTCACAACATAGTTACTACAAATTCCTATAGTAAAAATTTGGGGCACATTTTAACAAAATTATTAAGGGTATTTACGAGTTTGTATATTGGCATTGAAATTTACTTAAGTTTGAAAACATTGTGAATAGCATAGCCTTGTAGAAGCACAAATTCAGAAATCAATTTTTAGGCCAAAATTTTTGCAAACTTTTTTTTGCTATGGGAAATGAATATCCCCATCATTTTTGGTGGCACTCGAAATTTTTCGTAGCCGAATTTTTAACTCTATTTTTTTAAGCGAGAAAGTCTAGGAGTTTTATTTACATAAGTACATACGTTAAATTTCTATTAACTAGTTAATTTGCTAATTCGCTTACTAAACGGGAAGGCAAAAAATATTTAATAATATCTGACTTTTTTAAAGCATTCTTGGCTCCAATTTATTAATTTACGATCTTTCAAATTTTTAGCCACGGTCTCCCCCTCCTCTCTTGTGGTCGGGACACGGTCAATATTCGGAAAGCATTCTGTTCCGGATTTTTCAGAAGACTGGCGAAATCTGTGGTTCGCGTTAAAGGAGGATATTCCACGTTTACCAATGAGACCGCGTTGATACCGCAGGTCGTCTTTGTGCACCCGAACAGTTCCTTATTCCCCCTCAGTCTGACGCCAGAATGGATTTTGTACCATGAAGTGGTCAAAACTAAGAAGGCCTATATGAGAGCGATTGTCACCGTGGAACCTGCTTGGGTCAAACAGTTTGCGCCAAAGTTTGTGTCCAGGATGGCCAGAAAGTATCCGGAACTTGGCAATATTTAAGTAGCTCGACATATGTACATATTTTTGTATTATGACCCAGCAATTTTACGTATGCTTCAAAATTTTTCAAAAATACTGGAGACTATAAAAATAAATAAAAAAAATAAATGGCTGACCTATTTATATATACATATGTATCTATGTATCTTTTTATTTCCTAAATACTTAAATATCATATTTATTGTAAATTAGATCAAAATAATTTATCTCAACAATTGAGAAAATTTGAAAAGTTTAATTTACAATTTTCACTTACATTTCAATGAAAACCAGATTTCGTATATTTTGAATTTTTATAACTTGTGTAGTTGCATACGATTATACGATTATTATCCATATACGATTTGAATTTATTAAAATTAAATTTATGCTGAATTTAAAAAAAATAATGCACAATATAAAACGTTATGGACACGATTTATTTCCTTTTGGGTCTCTTAGGCACTGACGTTTGAGGATTGTCGGATTGTTGCCCCCTAATAACAAGTCTCATTTGGGAGCCATGCTCGGAAAAAACCTTCTTTTGAACCATCTCCATCTCAGATATCGTTAACTTCTTGATAGGTTGTCCGGATATAACACTGTTTCTAATGTATGAAATTCCATCTAAATACATCAACATACCTACATTAAAAATCAAGTTTTATATTTTCAAAATTTTTAATTCATACCAAAAATTGCATTTGCTTTGTCCTCTTCCAGTTTTTTAAAAGGTGCACCCCCAGTTAGTGTGCAATTCAACTTGTCATCTTCGTCCAGAATGGTGTCGTACAACACATACCCGGCCCCTCTCATGGCGTCGGCATGATTTCCACTCTGATACTTCTGCACATCAAATGCTTTAACTGCTTTCTCCCACTTCTTCATTGGGACAGATATTTTCCCAAGTTTCTATAAAAAATGAAACTTTAATATGAATTGTATTCATGTATTTTTTAAAAATCATAATAATATCCGATGTGCATCTGTCTGTACCACTTCCTGATTTTCAACCGTTAAGGATAACATGCTCGCTGTACTGAATTCTGCCAATTTCGAAGAATTTTTTTGAATTTTCCTTCTCGAAGTAGACGGCCCTGGAGGACTTGTAGGATGGAAATTTTGCCCCACATCAGAAACAGATGAACTAATTTCTTGGTTATTTGCCGCAACATCTAATCTTTCAACAGGAATGAAAATGTAATTTGGTTGTGTGTCCATCGGTATTAATTGGTCAGATATTTGAATCTGGATCCCTTCCCCAGATCCTCTGGGGACTAGTTGATTGCCTAAAATATTGGTCACAAGCAGATTCGCCTCTTCGTACTGCATCGGAAGAATAGGTTGAGGATGGTGTGATTGTGCAGTGTCATTTTCTGGAAGGTTTATGTCCGTGGAAATTTGAGGAGTATTCGTAAAATGGGAGTGATCATTTGTAGTCATTGGAGGAGACGCAGAATTGGTAGAATTTCGTCCGGACGGACAATCGCGTATAAATTGTTCCATTAGGGCTATCTGAACAGGAACTAAAAGGCCGGACATGATAACATGATCGATTTCCTGAGCGTCAAATATGTAAAATTTTTGTATCGACTGGGATTCAAATTTTTGCCACATGGTTGGCAAACTTGCAATCGTACCTGTCAAATAGAAAAGTAATTTTGGAAAAATAGTCGTACAATGAAAAAAAAAAAACTGTAGAAATCTGGTAGAGTCGGGCAGAGGTTGCTATCTCATTAGTCAGTATTAAAGTTGCTACCGCTTAGTTTTAAAATTATTCTGGTCCAAAAAAATTGCTACCGATACATATTTATGTATGGTAAAAATTGAATACCAAGTTCAAAAATCATTTTGGTAGAGTCATTCACGAATACCGATTGGTATTGTTTAAATACTGGATTTCTAAGAGTGTAGATATTTGCAAAAAAAAACTCACGAAACAAGGCAAGCACTTTCATCGGACATAATTTTGAGAATGTTGAAAACTTTCGGTCAGGTAGATCCAGTCTGATCCATTTTCCAACTAAAACACGGGCAGACCGCTCCAAATTTCTGTCCCCTTCGACGTAACATTTACTCAATCTTTCTCTGCTAAATTGTATACCGTCCTGAAATATTTAAAAGATAGTAATTTTGAAGTATTTTTAATACATGTAAATTTATTGTAAAATTATCATGTTTAAGAATTTCTTAAACAATAATTTCAATAAATGAGCATAGGTACTCATGACAACGTCCTATTTCGTATCGAAACTCATTTATGTGGCAAACTTGCAAAAAATTTGTAGCATGAGGGACCCTCATTGAGGGTATTCGCAAAATATGTACGACTTCGCAATTCGGCTTTTAAAAATCTTCATTTTCATGTTTTTAGAGACTTCTGTACTTTCTCTTCCTGGCGATGACGAGAAATGAGTTTGCGAAATCATCTAAATAAAAATATGCCCAATTGCTGGGTAAATTTGCGAAAAAAAAAATTCAAAGCTTTCCACCAAATGTTTTGCGCAATTTCGCAAATTTCTATCAATTGGCAGTTATGTGGCTTGGCTCAATTTTCGAGATACGCATGGTAGGGCTGCCGCGGGTAGCGAAAATGCTACCCGTTACCCGACCCGCTACCCGCAGCACAACTACCCGTACCCGCACGGGTACCCGTTACCTGCTACCCGTTATGGGAATTGAGTTAAAACCTAACCAGCCTTAAGAGTAAATTCGATTGAATTAATTATTGGCTCATTTGGGTTGATATGAGATAATGCACGCAAGTAACGCATGCCATACTTTGATATGGGAATGTCACTAGTTGCTTCTGAACTCAAACATTTTGGCTTACAATGGAAAGTTTTTCAAACTACATCGGGATTTCTTAGCGAATTATAAAACATTAAGCCAAAAATTAGGAATTATCAATTATCTTTCCCTTGAATAGCCCGTTTAAAGAAAACTATTGGGGGCAGAGTCCACCATGGTTTCAGTCCAGATGAGGAAAAAGATGCAGAACCTTTACTTAAAAATCGAATTTTGCCGCCAATATTTTTCTTCAAAGTGGACATTCAACGGAAAGTATCACGCGATTCCTAATTTTTGGCTTGGCTTTTAAATATACTCGCTGGACAATCTTGGTGTAGCTTGACAAAAGGTTCAATCTACATAAATACAGTTTGATTTTTTAAAATTTTGGTATAAATGAAGTTTTAATTACAAAATTGTCTACAAATAACATTATTGCTTTCAATCGGATTCAGGTTTTTCACCTTTAAAGTATAAATTAAAATCTCATCAGTCCTTGCCTTACACACAAATATAAGTCAAATTATTACTCATATTTTAGAGCAGGCACATTATGTTTGAGAAACAATAATTTCTCCGCATTTTCTGGACGTGAAAAGTATTTGAGACTGCCGTAGGCTTCTGTGGCTTCCGAAAAGACACGCTCGCTATAAACCCTAGCTGCTGTAAAATGTCAAATTTTGAAATGGATAAATAATAAATTGACGCTTTTGTTGGGAAATGGGCAAACTTGTTGCTAACTTTCTTTGGGAACTGATTTATGTCGAAAATTAAATAAAAACAGAACTACCCGTTACCCGTACGGGTAGCTCTCGGTACCCGCAGATAACGGGTACCCGCAAGAATTGTGCGGGTATGCGGGTAACGGGTACCCGACCCGTTACCCGCGGCAACCCTAACGCATGGTAGACGTGAATATGCCCAATACTTACCACGAAAGTATTCGTAATTTCTGGAAATTTCTGTCTCGTTAATTCCTCCACTGCATGTACGGATTTAATGGAGGGATTATCTCGCAAGAATTCTTCAAATTCTTCAACCTTCTCTATTTCGAGTTTAATAATCCGTAGAAATTCGAAAATTTTATCCTCCCCAATTTGTTCCCGTAACATGTCAGCGTTGCTGGATTGAAGGATTGAAAATTCTCCAACGTTAAAATCTCTGCAGGTTGGGCACACGCATGGAAAGGAAGGCGCATCAAAGTCATCCGTTGTGGAGGGAAATTCTTCAAAAACTTGATTTACAACTTGCATCTGCTCCTCGGATGGTGGGACGGTTTGACTCAGGTCAGGATTCCACGGATCTGTTGCCTTGTTCATCATCCAGCTTGCAATACCTGAAAATTTAAATAAGTTAAACTTATCTGCGGAATTTACATACTTAAAATGGAGGTCTCCCAGCGTATGCTCTCCGATTTTGACCAAACGACCGTCAGTCGATCACAAATTTGATTAATATGAAATTTGCAAACGACACGATAATGCTCAGGTTTGGCGGAGATATTTGCATCCAAAGTGGATGAAACGCGCAGTAAATTTGAAAAGTGCAAAATTTGTCAATTTTAGTACCCGGTTTCTCCTCTTTGGATCCAAATATCTGCGCCAAAAGTGGCCATCTGGAGATTATGCCATTTGCAAATTTCATCCTAATTAAATTTGCGATCGATTGACACTATTTTGGTCAAAATCGGAGAACATTCGTTGTGAGACCTCCATTGTTACATACACGAAATAGCCACTTTTTTCGGATACTCGTCCCATTGTTCATCTCCTTTTTTCGTTGCTTGCCATAGTACACGGGTAATGTCTCGTAATTCGGTTTGCAAATATGCGAGCACCCACTTTCTCCGGCATATTTTCAATTCGAAGCCATTTTCAATTGGCTGTATCTGAAAGTCAATTTAGTTTCCTTTTATAAAATTGGGATTGAAAACGTACATAATTTGTGCAACTCACGCGGAAAGGTTGTCGCGCAAGGGCGTGGTAGTACCGGATACGAGATTCATCTTTGTGTCGAGAGAAAGCAGAGGAATTTGTATCGAAGCGTCGTATCCGGTGCAAAGTAACTTCCACAAGGTCGGGATAATTTTGGAGATAATTTCCAAGCTCATTTTCGATCTCTCTGTCTAAATTTGTATTTTATAATGTACAATATGTGAATAAATCAGTTCGAAGTAATTATTTAAATTTTGTATTTACAAATTATACGATTTAAATATGTATCTATGTATGTTTTACCCATATTTTTCAAATCCAGTTTTTTATGCAAATGCAAAGTTCAGCTGATAAGAGAGCAGATCCGTTCAGTTGGTCGTGCTAATAATATGAGAATCAGCGAATTCGTACAATTCTGGCTGGTGAACGTGAACGTCAAGAAGTTCATGAACATTGCAGTAATTTTCATGAACTTCTTTACATGCAAATGCAACGTGATTGTATGTATTAACGGGCTTACACACTAGAGTAGAGTAGGTTTGCAGTGCAAACTTTGCAGTTCTGTGAGCTGTTCATACATAAAAGATTACATAATAATATGCAACACGTATGTACATACCTACGTATGTACGTGATGCTGGGCTGTTCTACGTCGTAAATATTTACTCTGATGAGTAATACTTACTTAAAGTGAGATAAAACGTTTATTAAGAATTGGAATTTTCGCAATAAACAGTAATGACCCTGGTGGGGTCACCCAATACGTACAAATTCTTTAAGGATGCGAATTAAAGTTTAGTATGCATCATTATGCATGTGCTACAGATTTTGGCAAATTCGGTAGGACAGAAACTAAACAATTTCAGAAGGGTTGTATTTAAATTGCTGCATTAAGCTAGTTTCCAAAATAACATTGCATTGAACGTATCAAAGTTAAGGCAAGTCTAAACGCTGGATTAACTTATGTACCAGGAGTAAAGTTATTCTGGCTTGTTCGTCGTTGACAAATTTGTGTGAAATCTAGGAGCAAAATGTGGGATAGATTTATAGGCAAATACATATTTTTACGTCATTATGAACACAATTAATTTACTTTTAATTTTAAGCTACGCATCTCTTAACTAATAATTTAATCAGATGCAAAGTATTTAGTGTTGACTTAACTAGCAAATACGTAATAGTGCAATGACGAAGATTAGTTTGTATCTAACAATGTCTCAATATTAATCAATTTTCTAATCCACTTAAAACAGAAATAATTATGACAACGCGACCAACACCGTGGTCAAATTATCAATCAAATTTTCAAAATAATCGTTAACTCCGTTATATCGGATTCGTCGCAGTGGTCCGATCCTTACTCCGAATGGTTTTAGCGATTTTGCCACCATTCTCCACACCCTGCCGTCCCCCTTTCCCATCGACCACGCCTCCTTGGCAAATTCCTGTCGTAGAGTTTGACTCCCATTTTCCACGCGGCCACAAATGTGCAGATACAGAAAGGCGGAAGAAGTGTAGGAAACGATAAACTGGACGAGGACGACGCCCTCTTGCGGGGAAATTGCGTGCCTTAATCGCATCAAGACGGCCACAGCGGCGATCGTGTATTGTCCATAGAATAGGAATCGGACAGGTAACAAGGTGGGGATGTAACAATCATTGTGTAGTTCGTTCAAGAGGTAGATGCACCGGTAGATGGCGGACCGTTTAGAGATGTGGTCCACGCTGATCCTGTGATATGGATAATTTTGATAATTACTGTAGGCAAGGTTAACTTAATTAGAAATTAATTAAATTGCTCCATGGACCTTTGCGGTTACTTTATAAAATTTTTGAAATAATTAATTAACATAGGTCTCGATGACACTCGATGACAGCAATAAAAATCTCAAAATCAGCGCATGTTTAATCATTTCCCGGCTCTAGGAATTCACTTAAAAATTCTGGACGACTAATTTGTGGAAAAAGTCGTTTCCAATTTTTTAAAAATATACACTCCAGATTTTGGCAGTTTTTGAGGAGATCTTAAGTTTAAGAAGCCTTCATAAAAATTGGAACTCATTGAAGCTGGCTGACCTTAGTTAAAAACCCTGACGGTCATTCTACTCAATCTACTGACTACAAACTGGTGGTCCAGAATTTTAAAATAAATTCCCAGAGCCGAGAAACGCTTAAACACGTGTTGATTTTGGTAATGAGTCATTGAGTCTTGCTTTAAAGATATTCCCCGCTTTTATAAATTACAAATATCTTACCTGAGCACCGATATTGCCATGGTTAAGTAAATCACGGAAAACATGAACCACGCCTGGATGAAGAAGGTCTGCCCGATATTCACACTTTTTGTAACCACGTCAATCAATAATCCCGCCACTTCGGTGAAAACACAGTCCTGTCCAGGAAGGACGCAGGTTACGTACTGCGGTGCGAGTGGTTTGTTGAGGTAAATAAGCACCGCTAGCACCATCAAGACCAAGGCACCAACCTTATTCCCGTTACAAATTAGTATTCCAAGGAATTCATATTTTTTGAAGTAGTGTTTCCCTCTTGGAGGAAGGTGGATGGAATCTGTTCCAAATTTTTGCCAAAATTATGAATAATGTTTGATTTTAGGCCAATAACAATTTTCGAAAAATTAATGAGCAGCATTTAGCCCCGGAAATTGGAACTGAAATTGAACTAAAAATTTTTCCAAACTTTCTTAAATAAGAAAAATTTGCCAAAATACAGTGGAAAAAATTTTGAACAAAACTTTTCTCACTGAAAAAGCCGTACAAATGGGGTAAGTTATGCATGGGGCAATGTCAAATCCCAGCGCCAAGTTTAAATTGTTACACACACAACTACATACCCAATTCTTTTTTAGTTCCAGGTTTATTCATGTTTTCTTGCTTTACCCCAAATTTTTTGAAGAATGTAAGTACTTTACCTTTCAGAAATTCCTCAAATTTCGTCATCTTCTCGAACATAGTGACCATCTCGTTCTTTTTCAAATGCGGATTTACAACTCCTTCAAAGCTGAAGTAATGCCCCAACGTGAACAAAGCGATCCAAAAGGTATCCATCACCGCAAAATTGGCCGTTTCATCATTAAAGGCGCGATACAGTTGATACACCGTGTACACAAAGTAGGGAAAATAGTGTGACACAAAAATCGTCGTGAAAATTGGGGTAACTTTGGATTGCGAAATTTTTAGCGTATTCCACTCGTCGTCCCATGAGAACGGAGATAGATACGTTTTTTTCAAAGCTTTCATAATTTTCGCAATAATTCCGAGCACCCGCGGAGAAAACATTTTACTTGTTTGCAAATTCGATTGGGTTTAGTTTCACCGGAAATTTTTCATGTTATGTATTCAATTCTACAAATTTGTAGAAAACACAAATTACATATACATAAAAATGTCAAACGATTTCCAAAGAAATTATTGCTTGCCAAGTTTTGGCAAAGCAAATGTGGCGAATTTTTATTGCCGAGTTTGAATTATATAGTTCCTAGTCATTAATATTTATGACGCAGCCAATTCAAAGTTGTACTAATGCTCATGTCCGAGACAATTAAAAACTTATAACGGTGTTTTAATGGGGACATAGATAAATTTAGATGCCAGGAAAATTGAGTAAACGGGCATTCATGTATTTATTTTCATGCTGAATAAGCCAAAAACGCCAGACACAGTTTCCACTTTACCCTGTCATCGTGCAACTCTACCCTGGAAAAATTATTGTTATATAAGAAAATTATATGTTTCGAGGACTTAAACCCGTCGATTTAAACAACAGATTTAATTGGTCCCGCCCAACGCGACTGATCTTTTACACGATTATTTAAATCCTTATCCAATTTAGGAAATAAAACTCAATTAATAAACATACATAACCTTAAACAGTCAGGATTATGTAACGAAAACTTTGATATTCTTAGGTAATAGGGTACACAAAATCAATGCTAATAACAAAGTAGGTTTGGAAAAATTATGGGATCATTAAATTTTAATAAGTCGCAAACAAAGGGAAAAAAAGTGATGAGTAAATATTATTTGAAAATTAAGTTGTGTTTTATTTTCCACGAAATTATTTAGCTTAATCCAACCAGATTGGGTTACGTATTTGTTGACAAGTGGTCATCTTACGAAATATAATTCCAATCAGGGCGGAAATGGTTAATTTAATATAAATTATGGGGATGGATTAGTAGATATGTACATATTTGAAGGCTTAACTTTACATAAATATCAGTGTACATATGTAGGTATACATACATACATACATATGTAGATATTTAAAGTTTTGTTAACTACGATCATACCATAGTTTTAGGGAAATCAATTTCATATATCCATATTTCATATTTCGTATATAAATACATAATCAAAAAAAACTTTTAAAAATGTTCACGACTAAAAAATTTAAATAAAATGTCAATTAATAAAAACTAATCCTGGCTTGACAGTAGTGTTACACGATGTCATAAATATAACCATGCAAGGGTAACAATAAATGCTGGTAACCAAGTTTAGCAAATGTTTTGTATAAATAAGTATACTTATTTACATATATGTTATTTACTCAAAATTTTCACGAATATCTATGATATTGAAGAATAAAATTACTGATTATAAATCATAAACACAACAAATCCCCATTAAAATTTAACCTTATAACCATTTAACTAGTATTCCTGGCCAATGGTGGCTGAATTTATACCCATTTTCAAAAGAAGAATTTATCATAAATGCGTAACTACATACTTATACTGTATATACATAGCTAACTGTCCTTTAAATTCTCTATAACATTCACTTCAACTAATTACCTGTACAAGTACCTGTGTAACTGACTACAATTTTCGCTACGCATTTTTCTTATCCTCTTCCTGAACTTGCCTGATATCACAATTTTCCGCATTTCCATCCATCTCTAACATCTCAAATTCTTCCCTCACGTAATCCGCAAACTTCACTACATCATCCCGTTCTGGAAAGGCCGCTCTACTTCCGAGCAGTTGAATCATAAGTTTCCCATTATAACTGATCGTCGCGACGAAGAGGTGATGTCCTCCTGGCTGCAAACCAGTGTAAAGGATGAGGGTCTCCGCCACGTGACCAAACAATCTTAACGGCTCCCCGACAAAGACGACGTTTGAGTGCACACAACTCGCGACATGCGGTACACGCCAGGGTTTCGCGATCAACGTGCCGCACACCAAACCCGTCAGACCGGTCATGCCCATCATGCCGAGGGGCAGGGGTGAGAAGAGGATGCGGTCAAATTGGTCAGAAATCCTGGCAAGACGGGCAGCCTGAGATGGTTCCGGGGTCATTGGAGAGATGAGTGGTATCGCAAAACTGTGGGGCAGATACAAATTTTTAAATTATGCATGAAAACTGCGCTCTAATAAATAAGTTCAGGAAAAATCGTCACCCGCGGTGGTACTATTGCGCTCAATTTTTTGATAAGATTTTGACCAAGATTTTGTCACCAATGGGAAATTCATGTACTTAAAACACGTGACGGCACATGGTTATTTAAAAAATTCAATTTTTTGCATGTTAAAAATTATTATATTCAAATATGAAAAATTTGTTTTTTTTAATAATGATGTCAAGTGTATTTGGTGCTCGCGTTTTGGACTTTTGGTGGCAAAACGTCTCTTTAAACATTACCCAAAATTAGTGATCTATAAAATAATAAAATGTATTTCCGTATATATGTAGGAGAGGATTCGTCTCCAAGTTATTTAGAATATGGGTAAGAGTATGGCAATGGTAAAGATAACCACCTGTTATTGGTCATTGTTCCTGGATGGTTCATTTTTGGGAGGACGTAAAACGTGGATAAATCCCCATCTGCTCGTCCCCCCTTTTCCAATATCAGCCTTCGCATTGCCCCTGTAACGCCGGCATGGATAATGGAGGTCACCTTGACCCCAGTCTTTTTCGAGATGCGTTTTATCAGGGAAATGTCCATCAACATGGTGAAGTGTGTGACACCAGAGACACCCGAATTACTTTGGTTCATCGGTACCACTTGAGAATAGAACCCTTTCAGATAATAGTGCACAGTTTGGCTTGGCGTAGCAAAAATTAGTTCGGTCAAGTAACACAATTTTTTCCATGTAGAAATTTTCAATTTTGTTCGCTGTGTTTTTAGAATGTTTTCAATTTCCTGATCCACTGTTGGGTTTGGGTCAAATATGTCACGTAATAGCGCCATATACGCCATCCCGTCACCGAGAACGTGATGGATTCTGAGGAGGACGGCGGATGTAGTACCGTATTTGGGATGGGCGTAGTTTGGGAAGTAGATAAGCTCCCAGAGAGGATTTCCAGTCGGATATCCCTTCTCAATCATGTTCACCAAGAAGTCAGAAAGTTTGTCGGGGTCGGATTCTTCGTTTTGTGAGATGTGATTTGAAATGGAGAAATTTTTGCATTTTTCCCAGAAGTAGACAGATAACCATCTGGTTAAAGAACAGGTGAGTTCGGGACGCTGTGGAATAACAGTATAATTGAAATATTTGGCATTTGTATATGTGTACATGCAAAAACACGTGTTCAGAAAGTTTACATTTGCAAGTTTATTACAGTCAGCCTATGACTAACAGTAATTCAAATTTGCATGTATAATTTCGCATAAATTCTAATTTAATTAGCAATTTTATATGCTGTCAAATCTGCATTTGCAATTTTTCATTAATTCAAATTTCCATTTATGCTTTTGGATAAATTGGAATTTGCACTTGCAGTTTATGCATAAATTTTCATATACGTATCTGATTTTGCACAAAATTTCCTTCGCGATTTTGCATCAATTAGCCAATAACTGTTACTTGTGTCCTTTATTTTAGTCATACCCCATCCAGCACTTTTTCCACTCTACCCACAATATCTTCATATAGTGGTTCTCCTTTAAGATGAAGTACGCAACAAAACGAATTCCTTGGTCGACCGTGGATGTCGTCACAGACGACGAGACAACTATCCAAATTTACAACAGTGTGAAATCCTGGTTTTAAATTTGTAGCCAAAATGATGACAATTCTTCGGTAGGCGTAAAGCGGAAACACAACTAAAACTAAGAGAATAGGAAGGATAAATACTGAAAAGAATATCGACGACAAAATTAAGAATAACTCTTTTAGCCACATTTTAAACTTTCGTGACATTACGACAAGAAAAATTAATGTGTAACAATTTCCGACATCTGAACTGAGCAAAACACAAAAAAGAAATGATGCGATTTTTTTTATTGCGCATGAAGAGTACATCGCATACATATTGGAACTTTGTCGCATTTGTGCGACACGTTCGGATAAAAATTAGGTTAAAGATTTATTTACGAGGGGCCAAACGAAAAGGATGTGCTCTACTTTCGGGGAAAGTTTTACCACAAGTTCAATAAATATGTGCACATATCTATGTATATGTATCATCAATGTTATATTTATTACTATACGGATAATTGCATACCTTTCTCCAGCTCCCTCTTACTGCTCATGACACGTTCGGTGCACAGCCCTCAAATTGTTGGTTTCGTCTGTTTATCAATTTATGTTTTTCTGCGGGCAAGGCAGGTCATCCTTAATCCTGGATAAATAAGCAGGGTGCGATTTTTTGTTCAGTTTCAACTAAATCGTGTAATTTGCAGGAAATTCAGTCATGCAAGAAGAAAGTCGTTCCTGCAATTAATAACATAATAATTTTTGCAGTATTCGTACATGTACATATGCATGAAAATTAGTGAATTTACATATTTGCGAATGCTGATTTTGGAATGGTTACTTAATACTTAAATGTTTCTCGTACCAAATTTCTTGTTAACGATGAAGACGATGTGAAAAAAATGAAATGCGTAAACCCTGGCCACTGGTAAACGTGTGTGGTGTGGACGACTATGTATGTATGAAATACATATGTAGGTACATACATACATACACATGCATATATTAAAGATGTTGACAAATGCGTACATATTCATTACCAGTAAAGGTCCAAGGTGAAAGGTCGCAGTGATCAATAATTGTCGGTATTGAACTTTGACTTCGTTCAGTGCAGAAGTACTTGTGTAAATGTCTTTATAAATTTGTGTGTAGCCTCACCCATAATTTTTGCAAACTAATTAGCAAACCATATTTATTTCGATAGTTGGAAATTTAATCTGATCATATCTAAATTAATGTACAACAAATGTATACGTACATAAATACGTCACAGCATAATTATCTAAATACATATGTACATAAATAATTACGTTACTTGTTATACAAATGATGTCTTGTCATTATATGTACATATGTACATATGTATATTTCGACTTTTAAATTCGAGTGTCTCCTTTTGTCCCATGTCTTTGAACTTATCTAGTGATTTTGGAGTTTCTACATATTATGTCTTGATTATATATACCTTCATAAAAAACATATTGAATAGTCCATATGTAACTTTATAATAAAAATAATAAGTTTTCATTACAATTTAACATTAATTGCCACTCTTGCCCAATGGGTGTCTGAATTTTTAAGCAGAACTTTTCAGTCTGTATGTTAATGTGTATCATCTACATCTGTAATCGCAACATTAATTTACCTCTATATGCACTTCTACTGTTCCTTAAAATGCCTGATGTCACGATCTTCCGCATTTTCACCCATCTCTAACATGTCAAATTCCTTCCTCACGTAATCCGCAAACTTTATTAAATCTTCCCGTTCTGGGAACGCTGCTCTACTCCCGAGCAGTTGAAGGATAAGTTTCCCATTATAACTGATCGTCGCGACGAAAAGGTGATGTCCTCCTGGCTGCAAACCTGCATAAAGCATCATGTTCTCCGCCACGTGACCAAACAACCTTAACGGCTCCCCAATAAAGGCGAAGTTTGAGTGCACACAACACGCGACGTGCGGTACACTCCAGATTTTCGTTGCCAACGTGCCGTACACCAGACCCGTCAGACCGGTCACGCCCATCATGCCGAGTGGCAGGGGAGAGAAGAGGATGCGGTCAAATTGGGCAGAAATCCTGGCCAGACGGACGGCCTGCCAGGGTTCCTTGGACATCGGGGAAATTAAGGGCATCCCAAAACTGTTGGGAGAGAAATAAATTGTTAAACTAAAAAAAAACTGGAATCAAAATAGCGTGACGACAATTCATCATCTTTGGAGGTATGAATTATGTATAGCGTTAAGAGTGTGCATGTACATAGTTTGATCAATGAAATGAATGTTTTTGAAATCCGATCCGATCCGGTCGGATTCGGATTGGATGGGATCCAGCTGAGTCCGATATCTGACTACTTTCTGATAGTGTTCTATTTTTGGGTATGATTAAGGTGATGTTTGTTACCGATGGAAAATTATTCGAAAACTCATACCAAACAGACGTGACATCGTTATTTATGAAATTAAATACTTTCATGCAAACAGTTCTTATGTATATTCAGATAATAAAAATAGGAGTTTTTTTACGATAACGATGTCACGTTTGATACATAAGTTCATAACTCTCGGTGGTCAAAACATTACCCAAAATTCAGTGGGTGACGATTTGTCTCCAATATTCGAGTGTGGGTAAGAACATGAAGATAACCACCTGTTGTTGGTCATTGTTCCGGTGTGATTCATTTTCGGGAGGACGTAAAACGTGGATAAATCCCCGTTGGAATTGCCCCCCTTTTCCAATATCAGCCTTCGCATAGCCCCTGTCACGCCGGCATGGATAATGGAGGTCACCTTTACCCCAGTCTTTTTCGAGATGCGTTTTATAAGAGAAATGTCCATCAACGTGGCGACATGTCTGACACCACTGGCACTCAAATTGTCAGTTCTCATCGGAATGGCCTCCGAATTTAAGCCTTTCAGATAGTAGTACATCGTTTGGCTCGGGGTGACAAAAAATAGCTCGGCCAAGTAACACAATTTTTTCCATGGAGAAATTTTCAATTTTTTCCGCTGTGTTTTTAGAATTTTTTCAATTTCCTGGTCCACTGAAGGATTTTGATCAAATATGTCGCGCATTAGTGCCATATACGCCATCGCGTCCCCGAGGACGTGATGAATTCGGACTAAGACGGCGGATGTGGTGCCGTATTCGGGATGTGTGTAGTTTGGGAAGTAGATAAGTTCCCAGAGTGGATTTCCGGTCGGATATCCTTGCTCAATCATGTTTACCAAAAACTCCGAAAGTTTGTCAGGGTCGGATTCTTGGTTTTGTGAGGTGTGATTTGAGATCGAGAAATTTTTGCATTTTTCCCAAAAGTAGATGGATAACCATCGGGTCAAGGTACAGGTCAGTTCGAGACGCTATTAGATAAGCATAAATTGAATTATTTCTCCTTGAATTTGCGTAAACATCTAGATATTTATATGGTGCGGATAAATATGTACGATACGAACGAAGCCACAAATTTTACTGGGCTTGCATTTTGAATTTTGCATAAATTCAAATTTGTTTTTACAGTTTTGGAGGGCTTTGTATAAAACGATATTTGCAATTTCGCATAAATTGTCATTTATGCAAAATTTGTAAAAATATATGTAAATGCATACTTGTGTGCCGGTTCCGACAGAATTCGAACCCGCATATTTTTCTAAACTTGCATTTGAAATGTGGCATACATAAATTCGAATTTGTATTTATCATTTTGCTTAAATACGAATTTGTGTTTGTGCAATTTTGCATACAGTTTCATTTAAGTATGACTTTTTACCAAAAATCCATTTTACATACATTTTCCTGTAAAATTTTTACTTGAAATTATTCAACAACCGTCACATATTTCTGTCCTGTTTAAGTAGTCATACCCCATCCATCACTTTTTCCACTCTACCCACAATATCTTCATATAATGGTTTTCCTTTCAGATAAAGGACGCAACAAAACGAGTTCCTTGGTCGACCGTGGATATCGTCACTGACAACGAGACAGCTATCCAAATTTATCGCATTGTGAAACTCTGGTTTTAACACGGTCGCGAAAAAGATGATAATTCTTCGATAGACGTAAAGCGGAAACACAACCAAAACTAGGAGAAAAGGAAGAATAAATACGGAGAAGAATATGGCTGACAAAATTAAGAATAACTCTTTTAACCACGTTTTAAACTTTGATGACATTATGGCAAGAAAAATTAATGTGTATTTAGAAAATTTCTATGTTTGCACTGAACAAAAAGCAAGAATGATCCAAGTGCTGCCAATTTTTACTATGAATGAAAAGTGATATTCGCACGGGGATCACATTTTGACGAAAAAATTAGGTTGCAGATTTAAGTATGTATGAGGGCCAAACAAGGAGGATGTGCTTTATTTTTTTACCCCAAGCTCCATACGTACATATATATAATCAATGTTATGCAAAGTACATACATACATACATATTAACATGGGGAGAATGGTACTTTATTCCTACCACACATCTAGTCAATGACATGCTTGACGCACAGCCATCAAATTTTTGGTTTAGTTTCCTTATAAATGAACGCTTTTCTGAGGACATGTCAGATAATTCTCAATCATGGATAATAAATAAGTAGGGTGCGATTTTGTGTGCAGTTTCAACAAACAAAAACAAGAAATAGAAATATCTATATGAAATTTCATTGTGTTGCACACTACTTGCGTACATATATGTAAATAACAATTAACAAATCGCTAATCCATAATGTTCAATAGTCCATTTGCAATTGACCGCAGGTTTGATTTCTGTCGGAAACGAGGGGAAACTAAATCCTAAAAAACAGTCCCACCCGCTTTCCCGGTAGCCCCGGTTTTGCACCACGAATCGAACCAGATTAGGTGACTAATAATTTTTGCGGCATGCATGTATGCAAATTATGGCAGTTGTTCAATTTGGAATGCATGTTTACTTTCTATATTCGAATTTTTCACGTACTATATATTTCTTGCTAAACGGTGTAAACGATGTGCAAAAAAATGGAATCCATAAACCCTGGCAATACACTGACGGGCAAGGGGCATGTACGTACGTACAAATGTTCATAGACATCACTACTAGATACAGACATGTGTGCATAACACATACGTACATACTCATGTATGTAAAATGCTGCATGCATTTATTAATTTGCATAAGTTAAGTTAAGCCGAAAGGTCGCAACGATTAATAATTTTGGGCAAGCTTGATATTGAACTTTCAGTTCCTTCAGTGCATCATTACATATGTAAGTATGCATGTGTAGCTTGTCCCTCAATTTTTGCGGACTAATTTGCAATACATGTTTAAATAGTCATAAAATTAATAGCCTTAATCGTAATAAATCAAATAAATCAAAGTAGAGTAAATCCTATAGCAGGTGGATCACTAGGTAGTTTAGTACAGCTACGTTCAAAAACAAGTTTTGAAATCTGAAATTATTGTGGAATAAGGTAAATATATCTGGCTACGTGTCCCAAAAATTTCATAAGTTTTCATCGAAAGAAAAATTTCCTATACCATTTCAAAACGAGTAAGTCGAAAAACGATTTTTTGTAAGTCCAAAAATCTGAGCGAGAAAGACTCCAAGAAGGCCTGGCTACATTTCAATGGAGAAGGGTGTGGCCGTGTAAAAATTAAAACATATATAAAAAAGTATGGAGAATCCGAAAATTTAAACTTCAAATAACCACAATTTGAGAAAACCATCATACCGACCCCTCAAAGCTTAAAAACAACTGAATCTTTTTCTGAAAATTATCCATCCACGTCGGTGCTTGATGCGGCCATGAGGTCAAAGATTAATACAAACCACTTGTATCATATAAGGGCCTATAAAATGGGGGTCAAAGCGTATGCAAAGAAATCCCCAGCAAAACATACGGGAACTTAAGAAAAATGGTAATCGCACGACCTCCGAAGCTTTGCAACAAAAGTTCACCAAAAAAGTTGGTCATTCACGACGAGTCCTACGTCCTTAAAAACGCGACAAAAACTCCGAGAAGGCAATTTTTTCATGGGAAATATATCTCCCAACTGAAAACCGAAGAGAAATTAAAAAGTTTTTCGAAATTTCCCAAAAAATCTCAGGTTTGGCTGGCGTTGGGTGAATTTGGGCATATTTCAGACCCTTCAGTTCACATGGCTGTGAGGACGCACAGGTGTATTTTCGGAAATGTGTGATAAACCGTCTGATTCCTTTCATCAAAGAGTATCATAAAATATAAAATGTAATTTTTTGGATCGACCATGGACCAATCCACAATCTAAAAACTATCAAGGAAGAAATCGAAAAATAAATCAGTTTGACGTCGAAATATGGAAACCTTACATACTTCCCTCATCTTCGGTCAATAAAAAAATGTCGGCTATGTGTAAGAAGAAATACTCCCAGCTTTGTGAAACAATCGATACTTTGACAAAATTTCGGTTCCGGTGGCTAAAAATGAGCAATGAAGTTGGAAAGTCTTCCGGAAAAGGATTAATGGCGGGCGCCACGAAAAACACCAAGTGCGAAGTGGATAATGGATTAAGGTCTCTTTTCGCCACTGATTGGCCACGGCAATTGTATTTAACGTAAGGTACCAAAATTTGAGATTTGAAAAATCATTTTTGACCATTTACACGCCAAAATGCCAAGTGATCCACCTGCTATAGGATTTACTCTAAATAAGTACACTCAAATTAATAAATTTGTACCTCTAAATCCCACTTTAATCTCATTTTTTCCAAAAACATAGATATGCAACTATCTATATTTGTTAAATTTCGGGTTAAATTTAATGCACCACCGAATAAGCTGAAATTTGCCATAAATTTTAGCTGAATTCGCCACCGGATGAATTTCTTCCAACCTTAGCCTTTTTTGCCACCGATTTAGATGGTGGTTACCACAAATTTAGATGAGCTGCTATCACCATATTTCATGACGATAAAACATGGGTATACATGTTTGTAAAAAAATATAATCACAATAATCTCAAGAAATCATGCTAATTTCCTTATCGCTGCATGTACCTATGTATATATTTGTATATCATTGACTAGACTGGGCAGGAGAAGTGACGTATCTATTATCTTTCGGCTGGTCATCACTACTCTCACAGTCGTCCTGCAGTTAAAATATATCTATCTGATCAACGTTTTTTAAAACCAAAGAGATGACGTGTTCGCAAGTTTTTAATTGGACCAGTGATACCGAATCCTCTCTTTCTGAGGAAAATTCTACCAAATATTAGAAACTCAAGCCTAGTTGCGTCTAATACTCCTTTAGAGAGTAGTAGGATATCCGACTTAACCGGATTAATCAAATCCGAATCCAACTGAAATTTCCTTTAAAATGAAACCCCATATGAAAATTAAAATTTAATTTAATTTGGACCACACCCCCTGGGTCTGTGGGATGTGGTCCGATTGACCCTATTTTCGAACTCGACCGAGAACTAAAAATTAGAAGCACAATGACGAAAATGGGGTTTGATTATGTCGAGAGATATCCTGCTTACAGACGGACAGACGGACGGACAGACGGACAAAACGATTGCAATAAGTAGCTGACGCTACTTAATAATTGCCTTAGAATACTTAGAAATTCAGAATACGCTTGATGATGTTATACCGGAAGCCAACACCGTTCCATTTGGTCAAAACCGTAAGAAGGGTAGGGTTGGGAAAGCTAAAAAAGCGCTCATTGTTATTTAATTTCAAGTGTATTTCTAAAAAAGACGTGTTTATAGACGTATTATACAAATAAATAAATCATATTATTGTAAATTATATTGTTTTTATAATCCTATACTCATGAAATATGGTGATGGCAGCTCATCTAAATTTGTGGTAACCACCATCTAAATCGGTGGCTGGAAAGGCTAAAGTTGGAAAAAATTCACCCGGTGGCGAATTCAGCTAAAATTTGTGGTAAATTTCAGCTTATTCGGTGGTGCATTAAATTTAACCCTTAAATTTCTTAACAAAACTATTACTAGTAACTGTACAACAAAAAAATAATGTTGTATTAATTCACTATTAAATACTTATTACTCGTGTACGTGCTTCTAAATATAATTCATGTTAATTTTTTTTCTTGTCCAGTTCACGAAATTGCGGGGGTAAATAATCATTTTCATCGCTCCCAGTCGCATCTAACATGTCAAATTCTTCCCTCACGTAATCCGCAAACTTTACTACATCGTCCCGTTCTGGAAACGCAGCCCTACTTCCGAGCAGTTGGATCATAAACTTCCCATTATAACTCAGCGTCCCAACTACGAGGTGGTGTGCGCCAGGCTGCAATCCTGTGTAAAGAATCGGGGTTTCTACCACGTGCCCAAACAACTTCATCGGCTCCCCGACAAATGCGAAGTTTGAGTGGAGACAGCCCCCCACGTGCGGCATACCCCACTTCATTAAGCCGAAAGTTTCATTCATCAAGCCGAGCAGACTGGCCGTAAACATCATTCCGAGTGGCAGGGGAGTCGAGAGGATGCGGTCAAATTGGTCAGAAACCCGGGCAAGACGGGCAGCCTGGGAGGGTTCCGGGGTCATCGGGCAAATTAAGGGCATAGCGAAACTGTGGGGCAGATATCAATTGTTAAATCAAGAAAAGTTGGTAAGAACATGATAAGTCTAAAGATAACTACCTATTGTTCGTCATTGTTCCCGGGTGATTCATTTTCGGGAGGACGTAAATTATGGATAAATTCCCATCTGCCCGACCCCCCTTTTCCAGTATCAGCCTTCGCATAGCGCCTGCGACACCGGCGTGAATGATGGAGGTCACCTTGACCCCAGTCTTTTTGGAGATTCGTTTTATCAATGAAATGTCCATCAGCTTTGCGAATTGTGTTACACCAGAAGAACCCGAATTATTCGTCGCCATCGGTATCACCTGAGAATTGAATCCTTTCAGACAATTGTACACCGTTTGCCTCGGGGTGACAAAAAGTAGCTCGGCCAAGTAGGCAAATTTTTTCAATGGAGAAATTGTCAACTTTTTTCGCAGTGTTTTTAGCATTTTTTCAATTTCCTTGTCCATAGTGGGATCTGGGTCGCATAAATCGCGAACTAGCGCCATGTACGCCATACCGTCGCCGAGGACGTGGTGGATTCTGAGGAGGACGGCGGATGTGGTGGCGTATTCGGGATGGGCGTAGTTTGGGAAGTAGATTAGTTCCCAGAGTGGATTTCCGGTCGGGTATCCCTTCTCAATCATATTCAGCAGGAGCTCGGAAAGTTTGTCGGGGTCGGATTCTTCATTTTGGAAGATGTGATTAGAAAGGGAGAAGTTTTTGCATTTTTCCCAAAAGTAGACGGAAAGCCATCGGGTCAAGGTACAGGTGAGTTGGGGACGCTACATAGTTAAATAGAAATTTGATAATTTGAGATGTACATATACATACATAGCATACTCATGACACGCCAAAATCACAACTCATTTTTTTACAAACTCAAAAAATTATGATGAAGGGATTCGAAAAATATGATTTCGCAACTTTAACTGATCGTTACCTAAACAAACAATTATGACCATATTTTAATTTACTTTCCATGGATTATCTCCAATTTCTAAAGGATTTAATAAAGAGCATAAGTCTTAAAAATAATCTTGTCAAATAGAAACATGCCCAGTTGTTGGGTAAATTTGCGAAAATAATTTTATAATCTTCCAGCCAAAGTTTTGTGGAATTTCGCAAGTAATCTTGCAGAGGATAAATTTGCACGATATGCTAAGGTTGATGTGAGTACATTCATAATACCAAAAACTGCACAGGATTCGAACCCACGTGCATAAAATTGAAATTTCGATTTTTGGTAAATTTTGCATAAAATTATTTACGGCATGCATATGTATGTACCTTATCCAGAACGGTTTCCACTCTCCCCACCAAATCGTTATATGGAATTTTTCCCTTCAAGTAAAGGACGAAACAAAACGAGTTTCTTGGTCGGTTCTGGATGTCATCGCAGACGACAAGACAGCTATCCAAATTAAGCGCAGTGTGGAACCGCGGTTTGAAAACGGTTGCTAAAAAAATTACAACTCTTCGGTAGGCGTACAGAGGACAGAAGAAGAAAACTAGGAGAAAAGGAAGGACAAACACAGAGAAGAATATTGATGACAAAATTAAGAAGAGCTCTTTTAACCAGATTTTAAATTTTAATGACATTCTTGCAATTAAGTTGTTTGTAGAAGCTGCTTCGAGATATCTGCACTGAACGAAAAACAAGAAAGAAATAATGCGATTTTTGTTACGAGTTGGCAGAAAAGGTTATTCGCATACATAGTTTGAGTTGACACATTTTGGTATACAAATATTTTGAGGTTTTATTCATTTTATGTATGTCCGTGAGGGGGAAGAACATGAAGAATGTGACTCGTTTGTTGAAAATGTAATACTAACCTCGACACAGCCCATGGTAAATATTTACGGTTAAGAAACAATAGACTGTGTAAACACATGACCTCTTCAAATCGGTGAAGTGTTGTATGCATGGCCCCGTTCGCTTATAAATTGGAGCTTTTCTGCTGATAAGTCAGGTCATCGTCAGTCATGAGTTGTAAATAGGGTTCATTATGCAAAACAAAGTTTTAACTATTGAATAATATCGAGTAAATCAAGGATCTCATGTCTTGGGTGACGTGCATCAAAATTAAAATAGCTTACACTTATTCAAATTTATTTCTTTTCCGGTATGAGAATTACTATTTCGATTTATTTTGAAGTTTGCAAGGGTTGTATTTATACATCGTGCTAATTATGGAAACCATGGATACGTGGAAAAAATTAAACCCTGGCAGTGCACTGGCGACTGGAAACGTGTGTGTACATAAAAAGGACATATGTATGTAGAGTATGGTTGGTTAGGAAAGAAACTTTTCAAAAATGCCTGTAAAATGCGGAAAACTTAATTAATTCCAATGACATTTTTAGGGGTTAAGAACAAGGTCCTTAACGTTCAATTGTTTGCTTCATTTGGTCCACAGATCCCCATCCTTCCTATCTGGCGAATTTGTTGTCTCGCGGTCCCAAGAAGTGCTTTGCCACTCTTTGTCGCTACCAATTTTGAGGTGTGTGTCCAAATGTGACGGAATCTTACCAAGTTTTTGAGTGGTTTTGTTCGACGACTATATTCTCTCTTGGATAATGCCCAAAATCGTTCAATTGGTCTTGCCCGAGGGACGTAGGGAGCATATTCTTTTTTTGCAACAAAATCGATTTTTTTCGACCGCAGGTAGTCCACAACAAATTTTGAAGAATGACACGTTGCTGTGTCCGGTCAGAAAAGTGCATTAAGATTATTGATACTGGATACGGGTTACTTGTCGAATCCTATGTCGTCGAAAAGGTAAGTCGTCGAAATCAACTTGTCGAACGGAAAACTCGTCAGAAAGGCAAGTCGTCGAATTTAGGTGGCATAAAACTCATCGAATTTCGTGCAACATCTTTACTAATTTTACCTATATAATGAGTTCACAAGTATGCACAATACATGTGCATCGTGGGACAGATATACGCTGCGGACATTCTAAAATACTTAAAACACTATACAGCTGTACACGACACGTTTCCAGACGCCGTACTTCACGGGTGTCATTTTCACTATACTCAAGCGTTGTTTAGACATTTGGCACACAATTTAAACAACCAGTACGACCAAGACGTTACAATGGCATTATTAATATAAAAAATATTCGGTCTCGCATTTGTTCAGCCCGATGATTTAAGAGTGGCATTGCGAGAATTGAAAGTATCGTTCAATTTTAAGGGTCAAACTAAACTCGAACTGGATGAATTTTTTAGTTATGTTCAAAAAACCTACATCGGTGTACGATGCACCAATGATTCCAATACTCTTCTGGAATGTGCACCAACGTGTATTAGATAATATTTCCAGAACCAATAATGCAGTGGAGGCCTGGACCAGGCGGTTTGGCATTTTTGTTGAGAGTTCTCATGTAAATATTATTTTATAAAATTATAATTTATATTTAGAATCGTATTTTATTAAAAAAATACTCTCGACAAGTATTATTTTCGACCACTTGCCCAAACGGCGAGTTACCCTTCAGACGACTCGTCCTCGACGAGTTACTCTTTCGACGACCATGTTTTCGACCAGCTACCCTAGACCCTATTGATAAAGGGGATCAAGATCTTCTTTACACAATCGTTCAGATATCTCTCCGAGGTCATGGTGGCTGTGGTCACGAACGGCTTTGACATGTCCCCCAATGAGTCCAATTCTTGCCCGATTATGTGCTCTGTGGGAAATTTTGACTTCGGCGTGTATTTAAAGGAATCTTTAAACGTTTTCTTATTAGTACATGAGTAGTACTTCCTCACAGGGACTTCATCTGGATCCATCGAGCACTTGGTCTCATCATCCATTACCAGAATCACGGGCATGTTTTGCTTGACTCGTTTTTTAGCATTCTGCCGAGAGTTGGGCTTTGCTCTTTTTTGCTGACCTTGGTTGTACTTTGGTGCAGGTGTCGCCCTATAGGATTTGACCCCCAACTTCGTAGGTTTAATGTCGTGTAAACTTAATTTTGCTATTTTCAATTTGTAGCCCAAATTACCATCTGATATCCCAAGGTTATTTTGACATTCCTGCTGAAGTCTACGTATTACTTTGGGGGTCGTTACACGAGCTAGACAATTTTTTTTTATTTTTTGAATTCAGCATTCCTCCTCTCCTCATACACTTGATGGGATCGAGTGAGTTTGCTGGAGACCGATCGGGGCTGAAGCATGAAAATGTTGATGAAAAATTGAAAGTATTTTATAAAATCACTTAAGGGGAGAGAAACAACTGCCAGTTGCAGAAAATTTTTTTAAATAACTTGTTCGCCCCCAAAAACACAAAAAACTGCAAAAAATGTCTTTTTTTTTTTTGGGAAAAAAATAATTTTACGCGATGAAACACATTGGACCATATTCGCATTAATTATTTACATTTTTTATGTGAAAATCAAAATTTCGAACAAAATTGTGAAAATTAGCGGTTGACCCTCCCCATAAGTTGGAGTGAGTAAATTTTGTACCGTGCGGTTGAGGCTGACGTAGTGAGAAACTCGCGGCTTCCTTCACTCTCTTGCTGGAGTCAAGGGTTTCTTACTAATCCGCATGGCACAAAATTTACTTAACCCGACTTATGGGGAGGGTCAAATACTCATTTTAACAATTTTTGTCAAAATTTTGATTTTCACGTCAAAAATGTAAATAATTATGGGGAATGCGGTCCAATGTGTTTCACCGCGAAAAATTATTTTTTTTACCCCCAAAAAAGGCATTTTTTGCACTTTTTTGGTATTTTGGGGGCGAGAAAGTTATTTAAAAATTTTTTCTGCAACTGGCAGTTGTTTCTCTCCCCTTAAGTGATTTTATAAAATACTTTCAATTTTTCATCAACATTTTCATGCTTCAGCCCCGATCGGTCTCCAGCAAACTCACTCGATCCCATCAAGTGTACCTATCTAAAACTGTGCAAATTGCCCCATTATGAATTTTCTCTCTTTCGAAGTAGCTATTAACCATTATCCGGGCGCGCTCGCACACGTTTTCGTAGTAGTGGCAAATCCTTTTTGCGAGTTGCTCTGAATTTTTTGTTCTCATTTTTGAACTATTCGAGATATTAACTTCCGGTTTTCTGATTTGGATAGTCGATCGCATGGACTACAAAACTACCGCGTTCCAACTCGGCGACAATTTTTCTTTCATACAAATAAATATACTTTTTCAAATGTTTCTTTCCTAACTGACCATACTCTACATACTTATTTATGCATGTATGTACATACTACACAAATATACGCAAATATGTTGAAAAATACATATTCGTTTATTTGTACCAGTGAGATTGATCGTTAGGTGGAACATCACATTTTTAAGCAGTGATCCTGAGTAAGCTTTGTATTGAACTTTCATTTCGCTCAGTGCATATGTACTTTTTTGCTTGAATGAATATGTACATATGTATCTATTAATCATGTTACGCTAACTTTCCCCTAACTCGTAAGATAGGAAAAGGTGGGATGGTTTATTACGTATTTAAATAGGTAATGATAACTTAGAAAATTTAATTTAATTGTGATACATAAATATTGCAAATGTCAAAAAATCATTCGGACCGAGTCCGCTTAACCATTTAAAACTTATGCAAATAGAATACAGATTTTCATAATTTTACACTAATTTAACATATCATATGTTAAATTATATAGGTATGTTACATATATAATTTATTTAATATAACAACGAACTATATGTTATCCCCGCAATAAGCCTTTAATTATCCTCCCACCCGCATAAATGGGGTTACACACTTTTTAAGCTGATTTGAAAAAAATTGTCCTCCATCACATTCCGATTCACGCCCAGGAATGGCAACACCAAACGCCCCATCATCTCGATAAGTGCATTGCGGAATCCATGAGCTTTTTACGAAGGTGTATCTAAAATTGATCGGTTGACCGTTAGCCGGTGCATAGTAGCGGCCTTCAGGTCGACACTGAGCACCAAGCACGTGACAAGATTGCTCACTGCTGGAGAAGAATATCAATTCATTTGAATCTCTGGGATGTGGACAGCGTCTCTTTTTGCAGATGGATTTCGTCCCAGATGGATCCATGACGAACCACTCGTCCGATTTGCAAGCACCCTGCGTCCAACATTATTTATTCGAGTTAAATGAGTTATGCATGATATGGTGAAACTTAAGGCTTTGCTCGTCGTTCTGTCCGTCAGTCTGTCCATCAGTCTACAAGATAACGGGAGAACGGATCGATATCGGTTTACAGCATAACACAGGGTGATTTTATTGTCTCGGTGTAGAGACAATTTTTCAATGGGAATAATTCCTAAATTTCCTCTAATTACTGAAATTCAACATTTTAAGAATTTCGGCATTGTGTTGGATCAGTTTTGATATTAGAATTGAATACGTAATAAAAATTTCAATCCTTGGATTGTAGGATCTAATGAAGATTTAAGGGATTTTCTTTTTGCAAAATTTTCCATTGTAGCAAGACATTTAGATCACCCTGTACATGTGACACTAGGGGGAGGATAATTTTCGGGACCAATTGGACCACCCCCCTCGAGGTCAGGAGATGTAGGCACATATTTTTTGGGGGAATTATGCACTTGTTTCACCCCATTTGTTTGCTCTGATTTATCAAATTATGAAAATATGTGAAAATATGCCCATACCTGGGAGAATAGTGGGTAGCATAATTTCGTTTCTGAGTAAAAACTGTACGCCCGCAACTCTGTATGGGCCCCACGTTGCATATCCTTCGACTCGCGCATGCAGTAGTATTCATCTGGCGAGGTGGGATCAATATTGAACAGTCGCATTGACAATACCCGAATTCGGGGGAGTTGAGATTGTAGAACAGTTTCATATGGAGGGGGCACGGGCCTTGAAAGCCGGTCAAGTAGCAGCGTGGCGGATTTCCATACTTCACCCATGGATAGCCATCGGTCGGACTGTGAGGACAAGAATTAACAATTTGTTACACTTTCAATAAGTTTTTGACGATTGTTACCGGCCGAGGTACTATGCAATTAGGCTCCACAGTCCTCTACTCAAGCCATATATGGGGATTCAGTTATGCTGATATTATTGAGCAGACTCAGACACGTTACCTGAAGAGAATCCTGCATCTTGACAACAGGGTGACAAATTACGGAATAAGATTGGAAACAGGTGTCGTCAAACTACAGGGGAAAATCGCCAAGCAGATAGTCAACTTCTTTATAAAAGTACTGGAGATGGAAGAAGGACGGATTGCAAAAACGGCTCTTAAATCACTAATTGCACAGCTTAAACCAGGTCCTGACCGATATAATTGGGCAGGTAACCTTCGCGACGTACTTGACAAAAGTGGAAAGGGTCATCTCCTCAACTCCGCGTCGTCGCAAGAAGTGCTACCTTACAAGCAACGGATTATTGAGGATTTTGCAACTTTTCTTCACGAATGTGATGTTAACCAAGCTCAATTGTCACGGAAATATTATTATTGTGCAACAATAGGAGAAAATCAACGGTTAAGAGATCTATCTAATATTCCATTAGCCAAGTTCAGATTAATAGGACAAGTGAGACTTAACGTAAATAGATTATATTTCAGAAAGAGTTTAAGCGTATTTGAGGATGAAAAGAAATGCACTTTTTGTAGCCTAAACTCTTGCGAGGATTTGTACCACTTTTTGTTTGACTGTAGAATTCATGATAGTTCTCGTAGTAAATTTCTTTGTGATTTTCTCAGCCAGCATGTAGTGACAAGAGACAATTTCAAGGCCAAATTAGCAGGGTTATGCCATGAAGGAAATGTTAAGTTAGCAAATTATGTAACATGTAGCTTATTACGCAGAAATCTTTTCATTCGTTTAGCAGAAGAGAAATGAAAAGAAAAAAGAAAAAATTACTCAAAATTTACTCAAAATATTATTACCTAAAAATACTAAATTATATTATTACCTAAAAATACTCAATTATATTATTCAAACAATACTTAATTAGAACTCATTATATATGTAAATTAAATAATAATTGTGCTCTATGGGTATTCCTTAGAAGAGCTAATAAATACACTTATCTATCTATCTATCTATCTACTATGCAATTCTACCGCGCGGTAACACTGCGGTAACAAAGTGTTAATATTTTTACTACCAGAGCATTGACATTGATGGCTGAACAGGATTTAACTTCTTACCCTTCGGTAAAAAATTATTACCAAAGTGATAGAATTGCATAGTACCTCCGTCGGTAACAATCGTGTCAAACAATTATTGAGAGTGTAGCTTAATTTGTGACATATATGTTAAGATTTACCTGGGACATCCCCGACTACTCGGGGGATAATGATCTGAACGAATTGGGACAAACCAGTCATCCACGTCAACCCCGGTACGAAGCTGATCGGCCGTCAAACCGTCCCCATTTTGCAATAATCTTGCAAATCCGGCATGTTGCCTTAGCTGGATACTAGTTGTTCGAGAAATTAAGAAAAGTAAGGATATAATTGGGATGTACATTTTTCTCTATGTTTGAAATAGTATTTATTAAAATATCTCCAGTCAACATGAGATTTCGCACTGTCCAAGATATGAATTTGCAACGTATTTATACACACACATATTTTCATTCTCCATTTATGTAATTTTTCTATGCCAATTTTTTTAATGAGTGACAGGATACGTGCAAAATACTTGGTATGTTAGAGTGATGCTTTTTATGAAAATGTTTTGCTCGTCTTTTTTGGTAAGTCATGCTCATGGTTATTGGTCACAATCACAGCTTGGGAAAATGAATTTGAATAATATTTATGTAGATATGTGTGTGTATATTTGTCAGCTCGTAAACAAGTAAATGTCAAGATTTTTTGTCATGATTCTACACACTGCATAGGTGCAAAGATTCACGTACATGCGGTCTTTTTTTCTCGTGTTCATCTTTAAACTATTAAAGTGCATAGCAAAGCTTTTTTTATGTATGTATGTACATACGTGCAAAATGTTGCATACATACAATTTGATACTATGCATGCAGAAAGTGATATCTTATTTTGTAGAACAGAATTTTCCGTTGTAAACAGGTGTGTAAATATGTACGCAATTGATGCATCTCATAAATAATGGTGAAATGTCTCAAAAGTACATAATATATAACTTACAGTAACTATAATGTATAACTTTGCAAACATGCAAAACGTCTGCTGAGTAATATTATTTTTGCGGGATCAAGAATGTCCGGAAGTACATATGTGCATGACTTCTAATTTTTTATATATCTATCTAAGACTTTCTTGATTTACATATCTTGTCTAACAAAACCACGGAGACGACGCGAAATCATCAAAAAGCGTTGGTAAATCTCCCAAACTTCGCAAGTTGTATTTTTTTATCTCAATTTGCGAGATATATGAATATTGACGTTTTAGCACGTTAAAAAATTTATCAAACAGTGCAAAAGGGTTCGAAACCACATGTAAAAATTTGCGATTTCATTTTTGCAAACACATTTGCATGACCTTATCTGGGTTATATATCATACATACATACAACATACATGCATATGTACATACCTTATCCAGCACGTTTTCTACTCTATCCACCAAATCGCTATATGGAAGTCTTCCCTTCATGTAAAATAAGTACAAAAAAATACGAGTTCCTTGGTCGACCGTGGATGTCATCACGAACGACGAGACAGCTATCCAAATTTACCAGAGTGTGAAACTCTGGTTTGAAAACGGTCGCGAAAAAGATGACAATTCTTCGGTAGGCGTAAAGCGGAAATACAAACAAAACCAGGAGAAAAGGAAGTACAAATGCGGAGAAAAATATTGATAACAAACTTAAGAAGAGCTCTTTTAACCACGTTTTCAATTTATGTGACATTATGCCAAGACAAATTAAAATGTGTAACAGCTTCGTTTAGATAACTTCACTGAGCGAAAAACGAGAAATGAATGATGCGATTTTTATTGCGAGTGGTTATTTGCATAGTTGTACTTGATACATTTTAGGATCAGAGTTCGGCACAAGTTTTACTTATTTATTACCTTTGTTACATTCTGACAAATACATACATACATATTGGTTTATTTGTACCATTGAAATTATAGATGTACTGTTCATAAGGTGAAAGGTCACATATGTGTAATTTGCTACTACTAATCCTGGGTAAACTTTGTACTGAACTTTCCATTCATTCAGTGCATATGAACGAGTTTGAATGTAGGTATGTATGTATATATTGTATGTATAAATGTATGTATAAGTATGCATTTATGGACATATGCATACATACATAAATATATATGTACATAACACTAAAATTTATTATTGTTCTTTCCATGTTCATTTTACATACATTTATTTCGAATACCTATACACATACCTATACACATACCATACTTATGTACATACCTATATCTACATATGTATGACCAACTTATACATAAAGCTGTAACTTTCGTCTCGATTTTTTAAGTAATTGGCAATACATAATCATCCAAAAATTATTAAGCTTCATGGGGTCCGAAATTACTTTAATTTCAGTAATTTCGAAAATTCATTCTACATACACGTGAAGAGTAACTTTCTTACATATTTAGTGTAGATGTATGTATCATGCATTTTATCTAGTTGTGCATAAATTAATTTATAAATACTTAACATGAAAGTTTAACTTGAAAGTTTAGATATGTTACGACGGGGAGCATATTTTAGACATGACAATAAAATTTGATGAATACCTGGAAAAGTTAAGACCGCATAATTATGCAGTATACTATAGTGCCGATTCTTGAGCCAGTTCCACATTCCATTCCATCTCACAATATGCACATATGTATTGATGCACATATACATACTTTCCAGAAGAGTAAATGTAATTGCAAATAAATGTCCCAAATATTTTCCCAAATCTGTCTAAAATAAATCTCTGTATTCCTATGTTGAGCAAGTAACCTTAGTTTACAATTTGTTGTTAATTAATTTAAGTTGTAATAATTAATCAAATGTAGTTTTTTAAGTTTTTTCTAAAACAAATAAACTATGAATAGAAATATGTTGTACGAGTTACTGGGAAAAACAAGCATTTTATTGGCATACAATCATAATCTCAAGCGTGGGAAATCCCTGTAAATGCACAGGGACAACCCTTCGGTAATATTGTCATAAAATGCGTGAGAAAGATTTGGGGTTAAACTTAGGGTTAGTAAAGCTTATGGGAAACGAGTGCGGTAAACACGGGACAAAACTCGGGGTGGGGCGGCCAAAACCATGTATGTTTTACCCAGAATAACCCTTACACAAAATCCCATAACTGTTCTTCCTGGGATGTTACACTGGCCAGATTTTAATTTTACTGGCGTGGAGTTGGTAGGATAAGATTAGTAAAAAATATTTCTTAGGCCTGTGTCGAACGAAAAATTCCACATTCACTCTTCACTGATTTGTGGAACAATAAAGGGTTACTCGTAAAAAAAGTTAAACATTTATCGATAAAGATTTATCCTTTTCAAGAAGAGGGTCAGTACAAGAATTACCCCTAATAGCATTATTTGAATTGCAAATTTCGACACCTGTTTTCTCCTTTTTGACGAATATTATCCGATGCACACTAAAGTTGCCAAGGATTTGAAAACATTGCATAAAGCAAAAGGTAAGGAAAATGCTCCTTGCCACTTGAATCCCAACTAATTCCACCATTTTGTCATAATTTTCTTCAACCTTCTCCACCATTGATGTGCTAAATCTTATCGCGTGGGTTCTGCAGTTTAAAACCTTTTTTAGTTCAAGACAATCCGAATGTGCTACAATTTGCTTGAGTTGTGGGGTGTGGAAGGCTCCAAAAACGTATCGATTCATAAAGTCAAATACTTGTGGAATTTGTGCATCGGCAGTATTGGATTGAAGAAACACCTTCCCCCCTAATGAAATGTGAAGTATTAGTAAATGAGAAACAAATTATTCACTAGCTGTAATCAGGTTAGGGAGTCCAAAATCGGAAGGCTTTGAAAACCCGGGTTTTCGATTATTCCGATTTTTGAAGTTTTGGTCAGTTTGGTCAGAAGACCAGTTTTCAATTAATCGGATTTTGGAATTTCTTACCAAACCGGTTTTCCATTGTGTGCCAAACCGGTTTTAAAAATCGGTTTTAAATAGTGCAAATTTGAAAAAGTTTGCAAATTTTATAACCAAAAATTGAATGCAAAATATAAATCTAAAGCCGGTTTTCGAACATGTAAAAACCGGTTTATTTGGAAAATTGTAAAACCGGTTTTGGACCGGTTTTACAGAATCGAAAAAAACCGATTTTGGATGCCCTAAATCAGGTGTACCTTCGTTTAAGAGAGAATCCAGCTTCTTGAAAAATTCTGTCCAATTGTTACCGCCAACATGCTCGATCATTTTAATGCTCGAAATCCTGTCATATTTTCCTTGAATGTCCCTCCAATCGCAGACCTGAATTTTAACGTTACTCCCTTTGCACCGATTTCGAGCTTCTTCCCCCATCCCGACAGAATTGGTGAAGGCCACGACATCCGCGCCGCAATTATCCGCCATATATTTTGCCAAAGAACCGAAACCGCACCCGATATCGAGAACCTTCATGCCGGCAGTAACGTCTAACTCTTTCGCGATCAGGGAAAATTTTTGAATTTGGGCTTGCTCAGCTGTTTCATTTCCTGTGATGTAGTGTCCAGTAGAGTAGACAAGATTATGGTCCAGGAAAAGGCCGTAGTACTCAGGTGCCGATAATAATAAAATTAAATAATATACACATTGATTGTACTCACGTCAAACATCGCATATTTCGCATATTGAGTATAGCAGCATAACTTGCGAAGTTTTGCGAGATATGCCGAGATTTCGCAAAAATTTTGCTGGAAAACCATGGCATTTTTTTCGTAAATTTACCCAGCAATTAGGCATGTTCTTATTTCGCAAACTCATCCTCACCATCGTCAGCAAGAGAAATCTTAGCATAAGGTGTATCGCAGAGTATGTGTGAAAAAAATATGTATCACAAAAAGTATCGAAAAATCTGACTACGCAGCAGTCGCACAAATAAGTCCCTAAACTTAAAAAAAACGCAGAAAATCGTAGAAAAAGTCCGTAAGAATAAGAGAGAGAGACAGCGGACTACAAATAGTACACTTCCTCCAGTTCCTTTCCTGGAGGAAGAGTACCCAGAATCGAAGCAACGTTCCCACGTTGAGCAGCGAGGGAAACCCGCTGGCGCAGAAAGTTTACGGCGTAAGGCTGTCCAGTTGTGGCGGCGATCCGCTGACCAACTTGGAGGATGAAGGCAAGTCCTTCCTGCCCCCATACTCCAGTGGTCTCCATGGCAACGGGGACAAAGATGTATCGGTCCATGAGGAAGGCGTACCTCTTCTTCTTCCGGTCCTCTGCCTTGCTGGCGGCAGCGCCCTGATGGCGCACGGTGTCTGGGAGGTAGCTGGGGGCGAATGTGTCCGCGCAGGTGAAGTCCCAGACAATGAACCTCCCCCGCGACCAAGGGACAAGGGTCAACCCGTCGGGTCGCTTGCCGTCCGTGGTGGAGCACCCCGCGGGCTCCCTGATGCAGGGTACTTCGGCAGACCGGAGGGCTCTCGCGATGACGTCGTTGGCGGCCTCGTGGCGCGACCAACGACCTTTACTTCGGCGGCAGGAGAGGCCGTGGTAGCCGCGGGAGGTGACCTGCGCCCCACAGGGGCACTTATGCGGCTCGCATATATCGCAGCCTAGGCGGAGGGCTATGGCGACACGGAAGGTCTCGTTGGGGAGAAGGGTCCCCAGTTGTGGAGAGGGGAGGGCGTTGAGCCATACCCCCGCATATTTGTCGCGGAGGGAGCGTAGGCGGGCAGTATCCTCCGGGATCACTGCCAAATCCGAGAGTTTGGACAGTGTGTCGTCCAGTATGGGGCGTTCCCAAGCCGACTGAATCCCTCTGACGGTTTCAGGTGGGAGGTCAGTGAGGCCGAGGTCCACCGCTGCACTCCCTCTGCCATGGCGATGTCGGTGCCATGGAGGTGGTCCGGAAGGAGACGTTCTACATGGGGCAGGACGCTGTGGACCGACGCTAAAAAGCACGGTATCGTCACATCCACAGCGTGCCTGACCCCCAGGCCGCCTTCCTTCACGGGGAGGGAGGACTGCATCCAAGCAGCCAGCAAGTGAAATTAAAGAAAGCCATGGAAACAATACCAAAATAGGTGTTTATCAATAGATTGGAGAGTTTTGCGAAGTCATATTTTGCTAACCCCCTGATGACACAAACATGTATTTTGATCTTCGCAAGTTTGCTACGAGTTGCGCTACGAAATAAGAAGTTGTCGTGAGTACGCCCAATGAATAGTTTTCTAAGCGCTAAAACCAAAAATCTAAAAAAAATAAAATTTCATTACATAAATTATACTGTAATTTGCACGGAAGGAGAGATCCATTTTTGCTCTGATGGTTGAGGTAGTGCCAGTAAAAAACCGCCTCCCAGTAATGTGGCGTCCATTTATAGATTTTAAGCGAGAGTGCGGCTTTCTTGGCGTGGGTAACTTTTTCAACCATTCCGCGTAAATCGGACCGAACTTCCCATAATCCTTTGACGAATGTCTCGCCCAGGCCAAGTTCTCCATAAGCCATGACCCAGGCGTACGTTCGTCTGTCTTTTATTACAACGTCGGTTGGGTTCCTGCCATTGATCTCGATATCCCAGAAATGTTTGACGATCGATTTCCCAATTATTGCCAAGAGTGGGGTGAACGGGAGAAGGAGGAGGTATCGGACAAACCGGATCAGAGAGATGAAACCGGCGACAGAAACTGCGACTAGTTTGCGGATGGATGACATCTAAATTTGATTATATTTTAGGAGTTTTTACAAATATTAGTATATTTTTCCACAGAATATGGATAGTTTGCAAGGGAATTGTGGAGAGTTATCACAGATTTTCTAACTTTAATGCGATTCGTGGAAAGGAGGACGCGTTAAAGTTGGAAAATCTGTGATAACCTCTCCACAATTCCCTTGCAAACTATCCATATTCTGTGGAAAAATATCCCCACGTTATACTTGTCCGATTATAATGGGTTTATATAATTTTGGCTAATTTAAAATTAATCTAAACGTGAAAGATAGATGAGCTTTAAAATACCTTGCAGAAAAATATGCACAGTGTACGTATAGCTACTTAAGTGTTACAGTAAGTGTGGCGAAATTAAGTATGTTACACTTTATCCAAGTATATTTTATTTATGCCAATTTTTATGAATCATGTAACCACTGTGTAACCGGTTTTTAGTACATTTTTGCTTCGTATATGTATAATATAATTATGTACGTGGACACCTTGTATTTATATACCCTGTCTTACATTAGTAAGTATATAATTTTTATCATTCAAGTGTTACGTTCACAACTTTGCCTAGAAACTACACGGTATAGCTAATTTAAATATATCCATTACTCAGGATCAGCATTTACATACTCCAAGCTATTTCCAAGATATTTCCTCGTTCAGGGGTGAGGAGTTAATTAAGGAGTAAAATCATGAGGCCATTCCGGCCAGGTTTTACAACATTCCCACAGGACAAGGTCTTATATTTAGTGAAGCAACATACGGATTGGTTTGTACTGTGCTGAGTGATATACCAATGTCGGACATGAGAATCTGGGGCTGTGCAAGATCTAAGTAGCTGATTTTTGGTTCTTAACTGGAGGAATTTCTTAATTACATGCTAAACATATGAACAGATTCATTCAAAGCTGTATCAGATAACTTGTTGATTTATTAACATACTTTTTGCTGATATGAAGGCAATTAAATAATTTTCAGAATAAAATTTACATTTAATTAGGTAATACCATAATTTGAGGAAAAAGTGGCCGGATTTAGTTTTCCTTGTAAAATGGACTTTTTTCAGTTTTTAGTTGAAGCTTTACCTGAGAATGTTTTTTTAGTATTTTTTTAATTGTCAATTTTTTAACCATACTAACCTTCACAATGGCATTTGTTTGTTACAAAAGTGCAAATATCTTTAATAATAATTTTACGTTATGTGTAGGAATGCTTGCTAATAGCCAGTTCAAAAATTCATCCTACATACATATGTACATGTGAAGGATAACTTTCTTATTTAGTGTATATCTATGTATGTATCATGCATTTTAGTTGTGCATAAATTAATTTATAAATACCTAACATGTTAAAATTCTAATTCAAACTTCACCATTCCACATCTTTGCTTGAAAGTTTAAAGTACATACATATTTGTTACGACGGGGATTATTATAAACATTACAAGAAAATTTAATGATTTGATGAATACCTGGAAAAGTTGAGACCGCATAATTAATATTTTAATAGCCAGTTTTAAGCCAGTTCCACATTCCACTCGACTCCATCCCACAATATGCACATACAGTCAATGGAAAAAGTATTGGCAACCCCCACGCCAGCTAAATAAAATTGGCTATAACCTTGGAATGCATTATACAATTGGCATGAAAATTTGTACGCATTTAGAAAATATAATGAAGTTTTGGATTATAATCATGTTTTATTGATTAAAATTAGATAAACACAGTTTTTAAATAATTTGTTGGAAAATTTGCAAAATTAACCCGCAAAAAGTATTGGCAACCCTTAACTTAAAAAAGTATAAATCAAAGAAACGCCAATTTTATTGCGACAAACTGCTTCTAGTAATACATATCACCTCCTCTCGACGCAATAAGGGCAGAAATACGCATTGGAATTGATTCGAAAAATCTTTTTATAACGCTTTTTAACATGGCTGTCTAATCTTCGTTCAAAATTTTGGCCAGCTCTTTTTTTGATGAGTGGTTTTCAACCAGTCTGCCCTTTCTCAACCTGGACAATCAGATTCACATCTGTAGACTGTGCAACCAACGAAAGAAGCTTAACCTCGTAGATTCCCAAAAACTTGCATTGTTAATTTGGCTACATGTTTGGGGTCACTGCATTTTTAGAACATTAAATTCCTTTTTAGGTCAGGTTTTTGCCAACCGATTTCAAATTATCGCTTGGAATGATTATTTAGACCCCATTGGTCATAGCTTCATCGATAATGACCAGCTAACTAGGCAACGACCTAGTCATTCAACCCCAAACCATAATCGATCCTTCTCCGAGCTTGACTACCAGACGGCAGCATTCATTTTGAGAGCCTCATTTTGCACCCTCCAAACTCTAACCATCCAACCCGCACCGAATAAGTTAAATTTACTTATGTGAGACAACTAGACCCTCCTTCATCCATTGGAAGTCTATTAAGGGTGGTATTTAGCTGATTTAAATACCTTGAGTTGGTTCATTTCGGGGGTCTTCTCTTCTATGGGGCTACTGGACCCTCCCTTAGCATGATTTTTGATTGATCACCATATTGTATGAAATATTGAATCCACAGTTGGTTCTCAAATTCTAATTGGTTTTGGGTGTTGAAATCTTCCGATTTCAAGTAATTTGTTGCTTCATTCATCATTTGCGTTTGGGCGTAGGGGACTTTTTATCTTCCGCATCATGGAAAAGCAGAAACTAAAAGTGTCATTTTACATTTCTTGGCTACTTTTCCAATAGTAAATATGGAAAAGTA